TGTAAGAGACTTGTACCCTTTGGCGTGCCGCAAGGTTCGGTTCTTGGACCTCTTTTAGCGAATTTCCCTATAGGGAAGTAGCTATTACCGTAGGTCTCATGGTAAGACTTAGGCCCGGGACCGATTTACTTTTTCATTTTAATGTCCCCAGAGGCCAAAAACACCATTCGTTCAAATTTTTATATATGTATATATATATATATAGGTATATATATATATAGATTTATATATATATATATGTGTCCGTGAACACGATAACTTGAGTAATTTTTATCCGTTTTTGATGAAATTTGGTTTGTAGGTGTAAGGCGGGATAAACTTGAATGAGTTCGCGATCCAGCATGATCGGACCATGGGAACAGGGTTTTATGGGGTAAAAATTGGTTTTTCTCACTTCTTACCCTCAAAACACAAAATTTCCCAATTTTTCTCCAAACCTTCTTAAAGAGCTTAAAAAAACAAACAATTCAGTATATCAAAGTGTTTTTGTACGATTATTGGTTACGGAGAAAACTAAAAAAATGGTAAATTTAAAATTCCCATGTTATTCTTATGGAGAATATTGTAAAATGTTGTAGTTTGCTTGTTTATGGATATATTTTGATCAAACTTGGCAAATTTATTTATTTTATAGTAAGCTATCAATATTTTACTAAAAACACACTACTTTATTAGTTTCCTTGTAGCAGCAAACCTAGGTACTCGTTAAACCTAATGTTATTTAAATAGATCAATTGAAAATCAATTCGGCCAAATGGAAATTCGCTTAGACGGCAGGTTTGCTGCGGCGGGGGTATTATTCCTTGTCATGGTTAATGACATTGATGTTAATGTACCATTTGAGACTGTATGTTTTGCTGATGACACTACTTTGTTTAATGCTGGTTCTGATATAAAAACTGTCAATTTGAATTCTGAAAGTGCCCTTAAAAGTGTATCCAACTGGTTCAGTACCAATGGTTTCATACTTAACAATGACAAAACTCAAACCATAGTTTTTAGTAATAAGAATGTCAAGGCTAGTGATTCTCCCTCCTGTGATCAATTAGGGTTAAGTACAGTAATGTTAAACTATTAGGCTTAGTTCTTGATAGAAAATTGACATGGCAGTTTCATACGGATTATATTTGTAACAAACTTTCAAGAGTTGTATATTTACTAAGATCTTTAGATAAAAACGTCCCGAAGTCATATCTCAAGCTTGCTTACAATAGTTTCTTTCAAAGTAATTTACTGTATGGCATATGTTTATGGGGAAATGCAGCTGGAGTACATGATGTCTTACTGGTTCAGAAAAAAGCTGTCAGAATACTAGCTTCAGCTGACTACTCAGAGCACTGTAGGCCTATTTTTTCCATGAAAAAGTGTTAACTGTCTTTAGTTTATATGTTTTGTATGTTCTATTAGAAGTAAAAAAACAATCTGTATTCTTGTTGAAACGGCTAAATGTACATAGCCACAACACAAGGCTCAAGCATGAAATTGACATTCCCTTTTGTAGATTGACCAAAGCAGCCAAAAGCTCTAAAGTTATAGGGCTTAAACTGTACAATATACTACCTCATCATGTCAAGAATATCGAATCCTTTGCTAATTTTAAAACTGTTGTAACAAATGGTCTTCTAAAGCACCCACTTTATTCTGTTAATGAGTTTTTGCATTTGAGTGCTACTGATTTTATAGATTTTAAGTAACATGCATTGTTATTCAACAATTTTTATTTTATGATATTTATTCTCAATTGACAACTGTGATCTCTTCTGTGATATAGGCTAAGTTTTACATGTATGTTACATAAGGTCAACTGTGATAATGTTCATGACTCTGTTACATTTTCTAGTTTGTTTTCTTTGACAATGTCTATTGCACAACCGTGTCTAATGACAATAAAGGATTCTTATTCTTATTCTTCTTCTTCTTATTCTATAATAAATATATAACCGTCCATACCAGCAATAAAATAATCGGATCAGAATACGAATTATATCAGATTGAAGTATATCACAGCCACCTCTAATACAAGGCCGCGACGTTCGAACTGGCAACGCCGCAATCACACCCCCTCTGCGTCCGTCTTCACACGCGCTAGAGGCTATGAACATCAATGAGAGTATTGCTGCTCTGTATCAATGAATGAAAGTATTTAAATACTTTATATATTTAAATACGTAATAACATATTTTAGTAGATTTTAAGGTATGGTAAAATAGACAAAATTGGAATCTAGGTTGTTTATTTAGTGAAAAATTGCAACATACCACAATATGTCTAAAACTAAAAATATACTAACATAATGTTTTTGGTTGCATTTATCGTATTGTAAGTACGATGAATGTGGAAATATATGGACTTTACATATTTCCTTTGTTAATTTGATAATCTACACTATTATATAACATTCTCATGGTGTCTGTATATATGTGTGTTATTCAATATAGTAAAAAATACTAGACAGACTGTGCTTAAATTTTACAAGATAAAGCTACTAACTTATACCACAAATGGTTATACAGTAGGACTAATTTATTGCCACTTCAATAATTGTAGAGACTTTGGGATTTGTAGAGACTACCATCTAACAATTTGTTCAAATAAAATTAATTTTAAATTTTTAATAGGAATATTATCTTTTAGTCTACCTGAGGAAACCATAAGTTAGCGACAACAAAATTTGAAGTTTTCATTTTGAAGGCATACTGACTAAATAATTTATTTTCTTTGAATAATTACTAAGAAAAACGTTTGCCATTTTGTAAACGATTTCAGAAGCTAGGCCTCCATATGGCTTTCCACAATATTAATAGAATTTTTTTTTTATCACATCAACATTCAGACTGGATTTGGAGACTATGATGTTTTTATTGTTAGATAGTGTAGTACCATAGATAAAACGGTTAGTCTATGGTAGTACATATTTTTTTACTAGTAGGCCTACTTAACAGAAACACCAGCTTATTTCTTTGAAGTGGTATTTATTTAAGTTATTTTAATCACTTAACAACAACATTTATCAATAAGATAGACAAATAAATAAGGAAATAGTACGGTATTACTACCTAAAATTTGCTTCTCGCGTCTATATTTACACGAATAATTGTCTTATTCTTACATTTTTTTACAAATTTAATCTAAGCTCATATTCGTGAAAAATGTTTCAAACAAAAACGAGAATATTTTTAAGATGTCTAATTTGATCGAAGAATAGCAGGAAGCAATTGTTGCTTACGCGGCGGATCACGTTGAATCTTAGAACACTGTATGTATTATTCATTTTTAATTGAGCTATCGTGATTATTCTTGCATCCAGGCACATCACATCTATCTGGTATGCTGTAGTAAGAAGTTTAATGTCATTACTAATGATTAAAGGTAGTAGAAACGCGATTATGTACGTCGGTACGCGACTCCTCCATTCACTGTAATGGTAAAACGACCGAACGCCAAGACACTGATGCGACGTTGCCGCTTTTCACTCGCCGCGGCCTTGTATTAGAGGTGGCTGTGAGTATACACTTAGCACAATAAGCAGTAAGCAAAACAACGTCTGACGGCAGTGGCTCACCTCGCATTGGAACAATAGCAAAGTAGCCTAAATGGTGTTTTGACAAGTACACTCGTCGCGCGCCACTGGAAAGCGCTAGTGTTGTAGAGATTACTCGTCATGTGCAGTGAACGAGTTAAAAGAAAAAAGAAACTTAAAGCTTTTGGCTCCTCCAATTGACTGTACTTCATTTGTCTCATTGTATAAGTTACTACACATTTAGTCAACTCATCTTATCTAGATAGGCTTAACTCTGGTCCCCTCATGTATCAATCACAATGGTAACGGTGACTTGCATCTTATTTCATGGTTTCAGCATAGATAAAAAAAACATAGTCCCTTAGTAGATTTCCCTTCCTTATGGAATAGCTGAAGCCAATTTTATTGTTAGTTCTGTACAGTTTTCTGTAGATTTTGTGTTTTGTTTACAATTTGTTTCTTGTTATTTCAGAAATTTAAAGCCTCGTTTAACCAAATAAAACTATCTAATCATAAACAATAACTCGTCCACTAGCTATATAACCAAACAGTGAGACACAAACAAAGACAAACTTAAAGCCTTGAATAGGTTTAACATCGGAGTCACTTTATAAAATAAATGATTTTTTTAACATTATATCATAATCTTGTTGTAATGTTTACTTCCACATTTCCATGGTGAAGCAATACAATAGAATACAATAGAATAGTTTGGTAAATAATCTGAATTTTTGTTTAAATTATTACTCTGAGCTCTCTCTTTTCTAACGTCTTTTTACAATATTTTTCATTGAAATCATTTTCAGAAAACATTTCTCCCTGATGAGATGCCCAAAAGTTGTTTTGCAGTAAGTTTAAATTTATGAATATCAAAATTTAACTGTAAAATAGACAACTTTTGTTTGAAAAAACCTTGTAGGTTACTATTCAAATTCCTTTAGTAATGCCAGTGACACTTAGTACAAGTTGTTTAAACTCCTTAAGTTGAAAATTTTATTTTCAAGGGAGGATGTGATTAAATTCAGCCAAAAACTTACTGCAGGTAATTTAACCTATTTGTTGTTTTATCATGACGCAATATTGTTTCATATCAATAAAGGCCTAGGCCTACATTAAGGAAAGAACCTTTCCATTCCCTCCTATAATTGTAGATTAGATCCATCAACCTAATTGATCAAGAATTATTTATTTTCTAATGGGCAATCAAAAGACAAAATGTCCCATTCATTGAGTTGGATCACTCTGTTTGGTCACTCTGAGTTAATAATCCCGCTTGTTAAGAAAAGTTTACTTCCACCACCACAACTAGTTACAATAGTACCATATTTTAAATGGATGGATTGTTAACATATATCCAAACATCAGTTCATTGCCTGTCAAGGTGCCAGTTTTATCTTATCAGGTAGTTTTCTTCTTATCAGTTGCTCTATTCAGTGAGTTGCAGTTTGTGCCTTTTTTCAATTTAATGTACTGTATATACAGTGGGTTGGATTGCCTCCTAACCTATTGTTTAACTCTTTGTTTCGGTTCTGTATTTTGTTGTTGGATACAATGTGTTCTCCAAATTTCTTCAGTAGAAATAGGTATAGTTCTGGTTTAAATAGGTCCTCCTCCGCGGGTGTCCGTGGGGGTGGGCATGTCCGCTTTCCAAATCACCTTTAATAGTCTATATTTTCAATTGATAGTAACTAAGTGCAAATAATTGTGTTCACTGAACATAATAAATCAAGTGTTAAATTCACAATTCGGCCTTTGATCATTGAGTTTTCCGCCTTCCTGTGCGTAGTTGTTACAACTGAACTGCTGCACGGGACAGAGTCCGCGGCTACGTCACACCTGGCCGCAAAGGGAGGAAGGCTGGAATCACTTTTTGTGTGTTAGTGGGTTAGCCCTTCTATGTGTTGTAGTCCTGATGTACTGTACATAGTATATAACAGTTTATGGCAAATTTAACTTTTTATCGTTGGATTCCTTGTATATTAACACCAAAGTTTGTAGGTTAACAACTTTTATTCATTTTACAGATTGGTTACTCTGGCCTTTACGGGGTCTATAGGTATGACCTTGGTCATCCTAGCCTGCGCGTTACCAGATCCAACGTAAGTATTGCTCAAACTTAGCATAGCAAGATCCCATATATTAATTAAATACTAGTAAACACGTTGCTCGAAATCGAGCAATTGCAAAGAAGTAAAGTAGTTATTTAAAAACAAATAAAAGTCATCATAATTTCCGATGAGTTAAAAAGACTTTGAAAATAACAGCAATTATAACATACAGCTGATCAAAATGTAAACAATCATGTTCTTCATAAGGATAACATGGGAACTTTAACAGCCACTGGGGCAGAGCCCAAGGGACTTTATCAAAAATGTAAGGTCAGTTTGCAAATCTACACGACACGCTCTTTCCAATGAGACGTCAATGGATAAAATCGGTTAAGAAATGGCGGAGGAGTTCAACCGACAAAGTTTCATGTAGCGTATTAATTATATAGATATCAATTCAGTTATGATATGTGCCTGTGTGGTAATTTGAAGACCAGCAACCTGAATCTGAGGCCTGGCTGACTTAGAAGATTCAAGGCTTTTATTTGTCATAAGGCGTACAGAGATGATCCATTTGACCAATTAATTACGGTATTTAATTTATATTGAATAGTTACTTACTTGAATACTTGATGTCTTTATCATTGACCGACATTATCGGACAGATTACGTCAAAATGTAACATGTACATCACTACAAGAATTCATTTGGCATGGTGGTTTGGATGGTTTAGGGTAGTTGTGTGCCATCAGGGTGGAAAAAGTGGCTCTTCAAGCTAGGCCAACGAGTACAACGACCTATTCACTAGTGCCTTAAAAGGGTCTTTTTGGCTCAAAATCTCTTACAGTTTTAGGAAGTGAGTTGAAAATCTTAATTCCTGACTGAGGGTAGCATTTCAAGGATCTGATCTGCTTAGGCGACATCGGGGCATATTAAGGTCTACTGTGTTACGTGCATCTCAAATGTATGCTGGTCTCTCCTGCCAAAGTCAGTTTCCATTTAATTTGCGAGTCTAAAGATGTTACATTAAAAAAATGAGCAGCAGTGATTTAAGTACCCCACAAATGTAACCACACGAAGTGGCATCTTTTGTTAGGCTAGGGCCACACTTGGCGACTTTTTTTCACGCAACTTTGCTGCGACGATAAAGTCGCTTGGGGTGGCCACAATAGGCGGCAATTTCAACCTTTCAGTTTACTGAAAATCCCATACCAGTAAAAATAGAGTTTTTAGATGTTATATTATATTTTCAAAATTGTTTCATTAATTATGCAAATAAATAAGAAGCTATGACAGTTTTTATATGTTTTTGGGCCAGCTTAAAATACCGGAATCACCGTAGGTGGCGCGGTAAGACCTAGGATTTACTTTTTCATTTTGATGTCCCCAGGGGCCAAAAACACTATTTGTTAAAAATGTTATATTTATATATAGATAGGCCTATATATTACAGGGTGTCCCATGGAAGGTATCTCAAATTGATTACGGAAGAACGGCTTAATCACAAGGATGAAATAAAATTATTACCCGCTAAATCAACCCCAAGGAATAACGTAAAAATATTTTCATATCAAAATATTTTCCGATACAGGGTATGCCAAAAACTGAGGGTCACTAGTTTGAATCTCGGAATTTTCAAATGTTAACATATGCCATGTTATACATCATTTTAAAGGTACTATTTAATAGAAAAATATTTTGGCAAAAACAGAAATGAATTATCTTTTGCCGTTTCATATTGGCGGCAGTTTATTTTGAAAAAAATCAATATGTTTTTAACGCTCTGTGTTTCCTATACCAATGCACTTAGCCCTTCTCCGGTCGAATTTTCTTACTCGTTATAAAATTAGCTTTATTGTGATATGCAACAAGAAGGCTAACGGTTTTTTGAAATAATAAAAGTAAAAAAAATTTATTTTTTAAAATTTGTTAATGTCTATTGTTTAAAATTTTCAAATAGCAACAACATATGTCAAGTGACACATCATTATATAGGTTTTTTAATGCCTAACAACTTTGTAATTTACACTTACTTTGTATCTCTTTTAGTTTTTGTGTAAATAACAAAAAACCTAATTTTCCTATATCAAATGCATCTTATTTGGGTTTAACCTTAAATTAAATGGAACCTTTAGTGTTATTCCTTGGGGTCCAACGTTAAGCTAATATGAAGCTCTTTGAAAATGTTAGTAGCCTACATGTAAAAACCATGAAATGTTCAAAAAAATCGAAATCGATCACTACTTACCATATTGTATGCATACTTACCTACCTTCTTGTGAGTTAATAGTATAAGCGTAAATACATGTTTTGAGTGTTATTAGATGTAACTTTTATTTACTTTCTGTGTTTTAAAATTAATAACAAAACTTTCGAAATATTAATCAGGGTGTCTAGCTAATCAATCAATTGTACGTGAATATTGATGATGGGAGAAAAATGTATCTAAATTTTGTATGGAACTGGAAAAATTTTCAATTATCCTAGTCTATGTCCTAGTCTTATGTATTCATCAATGTTGTTCCATCAGTTCTCTTTTAAAGTCTTAATGTTTTAAGAAGAACACAGTTGATGAAATTGAGTTATTATATTTCATCAACTAAGATGATAATATAATCCTATTATATTATGGTAATCTGGTTTATACCATCAATAAACTATAGGCCTACCACTTAGAAAAGAACCGCGCACCTGTTTGAGTTGGGCAGGTAGGAGAGTCAGAGTGGTTGGGAAAGACCCCTCGCCGTTATCAGCTAGGAGTCTCCCCACCACCGCTCCACCAGGCCCTCCCCGCCATCACCCCTACGTGCACGAGACAGCCGTGGTTCTGCGCAGGTTCTTTTGAATCTGGTAGACCCAGGGTGTCCACATTCTGGAAAGTCAGGGATAGTCATGGAAAGTCATGGAAAAAAAATTATGGTCATTGAAAGTCATGGAAATAGGCAAAAAGTCATGGAAAGTCATGGAAATCCCCAATGATGGATGGATTTCAGGGGACCTTTCAATGCTCTAGTCGGCCGTAACCGTGACAATTGTAGCATTTTTCCGAATTTTTCACAAATGTACGACAATTTCAATTTATACAGTTGTCTTAGTTTATGGGTTTTGAGTTTGTATTAGTCCATTGTTGTACCTATTGTACTCCATTGTTATCTGTTAATACATATTTCAATATTTTCTGTGAAATAACTTGTCTAGGCAGTATTATTCGTGTGTGTACGGTATATTATAATTTTTGAGTTAAGTTCGTGAGTCATGGAAATCAATGGTTAATTGTCATGGAAAGTCAGGGAAATTGATGACAAAATTTCTGTGGACACCCTGTAGGCCTATAATGGAATTGAATTTCAGTGTATAACGTTGTCGTGATTGCTAGTCATACAAATTTTTGGTTTTATTTGTTATGCAATCTTACTGAATTTCTGGCTAATCTGGACAGCTTGCTTGGTAACTCTAACTGGGTCCAGTCACACTTGGTTTGGATTGGTGGAACTATGGTGTAAGGCCACCTTAGCTGTCTAAGTAGCCCACAACGTATTTATTTATAGATTAACTAGCTGTACCCGCGGGCTTTGCCCCGTTTAACTTCACAAGTGAGCTCGTTCGCATGGCTCAATCACGTCCTGGTTGAAGTTCGTTTGCTACGCTCACTCACCTTTAGGTTGGAGCTCGTTCCCTCCGCTCACTTGCCTTCAGGTTAGCTCGTTCGCTACGCTATCTCGCTTCCAGGTTGAAGTTCGTTCGCTACGCTCACTCACCTTTTGTTTGCAAATTGGCTGTAGTCATAAATAAAAAAATAAAAAAAATAATAGTGCTGCACCCTGTTGGTAATCCTTGTAACTTTAATGCTATTGAACATCACAGAACAGAACCAACTTGTTTAATTGAAACAGCTGTTAAGAAATTCCTTTTAAATATGAAAAATCATAAGGTTAACATGGGAAATTCCAGAGCCACTGGGGCGGAGCCCGAAAGCCTGATCAGAATAAAAACTACTTAGTTTTCCTATTTAATGTCCAAAGAATCGATGTACCGAATTTCAGCCTCCTAGGTAAATAGGAAGTGGGAGAATTAGTGATGAGTGAGTGAGTGAGTCAGTCAGTCAGTGAGGGCTTTGCCTTTTATATATTTAGATGTATACAATTAATAACACAATTTACTGGATGGCTTGTGCAGAACTTCCAATTTGTTAAAATTTTATTACAACTAGGCCAATTGTTTGTCTCAAGTATGGTACGTAAGGTATGTATTTTTTACACTAATAAGGTTTATGTTACTTGGCTTCTGTCTCTGATCCACGGTAGTTTTTAAAAAACTACTGTTTTTTATGATTTCATGTTTCTTAAAACTACCGTGGATTGGAGACAGAAGCCAGGTAACATAAAACCTTATTTAGTGCTAATTTTAACGATCCAGTGGCCAACCATCATGAAAATGTATTTTTTAATTTATCTGGGGAATAATATTGTTGCGTAATGGGATATTTTAAAATTTAAGGTGTGCCCAAATGTTTCTACTTGATTTATAAATACATTTTAAGTTAAACTGTGCCTTAAAAGTTGAAAATCATTATCATTTAAGGCATTATCACTTCAGCCATTAAAATATTTGCTTTTGGCACCGGTACTTGTAGTTTTAAAACCCTAGCAGTGGCCAACCGTCGTCTGGTGACGGTATGACGTTGATGCTTAGAATGGCCAATGTCGTCTGGTGACGGTATGGGCCGAAATTTTTTTAACGGTAAAAAAACACTTACAATCAACTCAGATGAGAATAATATATATACCATTCGAAAGATCACATTCTGAACTTTCATTTGATTACATAAACAAACCCTGTAGCAGGTATATAACAATGTCACGACGATTAGAAATCAAATGAAATTTTGGCGCGGTACGACTTTTGCAGCCGACACTTGGGAACTGGCAAAACACGTCTTGTTTGGCATTACCCTGCTCGGGTAATTTTCGTCTTGGGATGTTGCGGGTGGTACCACTGGATAGCCATTGATTTTATCTTCATTGTGGTAGTGATATTTATAACTAAATATTGATTGCACAATCGGTACAATTTTATGAAAACAGCTGTTTTCGAAATTTCTAACAAATGGCCAACAGTCGTCTGGTGACAGTATGGAAAATACGAATTATATACAGTGAAAGTTATTATTACTAGTCATATAGTATATCATTTTGAAGAGGAAGAAATTTAGATTCAGAGAGTGGCAGCCCTGCACTCAGGGTTATTTCTGTATGCTCCATGTAGACGACGAAAGTGAGTCATTACTGCTACAGTCTGTCAGCTGTCTTGTATTGCCATTGTTTGTTTGTGTTGTTGCCGGTAATAGTGTTATCCGAGATTTATTACTAAATATGTTATTAGTTCGTAGTGTTAGTGTTAGTGAAGTGTTGTGTGTGTGTATAACAGTAATCTTCATGCATAAATATTACTGAATTGTGTGAAATAGTGTTCATAAAAGGTTGTATTTTGTTAGCATCATGTCCTAAAATGACGATTCTGACATTCAGAGATTGTTGTACCTACATAATGATGTACCCAAGGTGTTATACATTTTTATAAAGGTAAATGAATACACTACAACATGTTTATAATGGTTTGGGGGCATATTCTTATGCATATAAAAAGAATTTTGTAAAAAAGTTATAGCCTATACTAAATAGGCCTACTACCTACTGTATTTTGTTAGCATCATTTTCAAAAATGACGATTCTGACATTCAGAGGTGCTATATATGCTATATAATGATTTACCCAAGGTGTTATACATTTTTATAAAGGTAAATGAATACACTACAACATGTTTATATTGGTTTGGGTGTAAAAAATTTGGTAAAAAAATTATATAGGCTACTAAATACTGTACACTCCATTTTCTCGAAATGCGCAAAAAATTCAAAACGTTCTCAAATTGATACATAATCATAGGTGAAAATAACTTTTTACCATCATACTTATGACTTTTTTGGATTCCTTACTTCATTAGCTTTACAAATATGTAGGCTACATATCATCAGCCTACATAATGTTTCACAACACAAGCAAACACTGTAGGCTATAGTTTACACTTATTTGCGGTTTTGCGGTTATTGTATTATTATGTCCCTATTACGTACCTACAAAAAAAAAATATTTCTAACATGTTATACATTTTTATGTAGGTAATTGAATACACTACAAGATTATTATGTTGGTTTGAAGTAAACAAATTTGGTACAAAAGTTGTATACCAAGTACTGTGAATTTTTTTCTCGAGAAATCGCTAAAATATAAAAACATTATTTTATATACGTATGTTTATAGGTAAAAAATTATTTTTACCATAAACTTTATGACTTTTTTTGATTCCTTACTTCATTAGCTTTACAAACATGTATATATCATTATTAGTATACACATATATTATAGAACTTTTTACAACATAAACTAACACTGTACGGTTTTCAATTTTTTCGGTTCTCCGTTTGTCATTATATTTTGCCCCAAAAACTTATAAAAAAAAATATTTTCCTAACATGTTATATATTTCTATGTAGGGAATTAGATTGTCTACAAAATGTATATAATAAATTTCCCATAAAAAAATCCGTAGAAAAAAAATGCAGAGGCCGCTTTTGAAATTTAAAAAAAAATTCAATTTTTTTTATTTTTTTCGCTTTACCGATAAAATACACTGTCTAAATCATTATGATATTACTATTTCTAGATTCTCCTGTTCTTTCCGAACAAAATGAATATGAGGTTGGCTAGGTTTACTTGTACGGTTGAATTTTTACGAATTTTCAAAAAATGGTCTGCAAAATCGCCAAAATGGGTTGGCCATTCCCCACTTCTAACATTGGCCACTGCTAGGGCTATAATATTTTAATAATTTAAATTGATATATTTTAATAATTTAAATTGATATATTTTAATAATTTAAATTGATATATTTTAATAATTTAAATTGATATATTTTAATAATTTAAATTGATATATTTTAATAATTTAAATTGGTCTATCTATATATTAACACGTTGAGTGCGGGCATCATCAATAGATGATGTCCGACACTAGCACTGGTGGCGGACATCAGCTAAAGCTGACGTCATGCCACTCTCTCCACATTAGTTTAGTGTGAGCTCAGCCTTTGCCGGGGAACGTTATAATCGTTGCCAGCCTGTAGCTTAGATTATGTAGCTTTAGTCTGGTGTAGGTTGGTACTAAAATTTCCCTTAAAATCCCGTCTAGCAATACTTTTGTCCCGGTTCCGGCAATTTTCTCTTTTCGAGCCACTTTACAAAGACACTGGCTACGAATCCAGGCAGTGCTGCTACCTTTGGGTGTTTCAGTGAACTACGTCCACTCTCGGGCTAACACTGCACAATCACCGCTGCTCTTTTTTTATTCGTCAGACTGAAATATTTGAATGCCAATTGCGTTCACCGATTCAGTTGCGCTGCGGGGCTTCGCCCGGGCCTCGCCGCCATTATCGAGCGCCTGTTTGAAGGTATTCCGCACTGAACGTGTTAATAGGCAAGCATGTTTCTTTAAAACCTTTTTTCTCAGCTCGTGTGCATCTCAGGGAAAATCTACGCATACTGTTAGAAAGATATTTGCCTGTAGATGTGCAGAATCCCTTTATAAATCAAAATAGGCTAAAAAATAAGCACAAAAAACTAATTTGAAAACTTCAAAAAATTAACATGGACCAACTAGGTTGCCATGATGGTGACGAAATAACAACAAAATGTAAACAGAAAATCAAAACAAATGGAAGAAATCCCAATCACATGTTTTATTTACAGTGTGGGGAGAAAATAGAGTAGTCTGTACATTAATTATTTTTGGTCAAGTTTCGACCACAGGACGACCACTAGTATATTTTAATAATTTAAATTGATATATTTTAATAATTTAAATTGATATATTTTAATAATTTAAATTGATATATTTTAATAATTTAAATTGATATATTTTAATAATTTAAATTGATATATTTTAATAATTTAAATAATAAAATACACTAGAGGGAATCCCACTGTTGTTTCTTTTACCCTTGAGCCAAACTTAAAAGATTTCTAATTTGATCGGTTGTAGAGTGTGGTGGCCATTTTTTGTCGTCTTGTTCTACGTGTTGGCACCCCTGCCTACAATCCTGGCGAGACGGTACACCGAACACACTGGCTCATCCAACAGCTCAATTGAGTTGGCGATCTTCATCACCATGGGGTTTGTTGTCTCATCTTTTGCACTACCAATGGTTTTGGCACGGTCGCCTGAACCCACGCCTACTGTGAGTATGGCATTGTGAGACAAAACTATGCTTTTATAATATGGTTGAAGAATTTTTAACTTAAAGGCTAGTAAAATCAGGGTTACCACCAAGACAAACCTTGAAAAGCTTTGAATTATGTATGATTTCTTGTGACCATGAAAAAGGAATGGATTAGGCCTATGCATGAATTTCTATTGGACCATGAATTTTTGAAAATCATGAATAACTAGAGGACCCATGCTGCTCTGCAGCGTTAAAATAAATATCATATCCAAGAAATATGATTTTTGATATTACAGTACCTTGAACTTAACTGATTCAAACGATCAATAGCTCAAATTAATGCCTATAATATACTGATTAATTTGAGTCTAAAACATATAAAAAAAACATAAACAATACTGGAGCTATTGATTTTTAATCATAGAAAAACCTTATGAAAAATAATTTTTATGTTTGTTGTTCACCTTGCGTTTGATTGAAACTCGCCATAGTTTAAATGAAAGCCGGTATTTCACTGAAGGTTCTTAGACCAAAATATATAGGATTATATAATTATAACTGGTTAAGTACATCTCTAATTGAAGTAAGAATTTGAATAAATCAAATTGATGTTTTTTTGTCAATTAATGTAGTTGATATATGCCGATATATATGTAGATATACAGTTGGCTCTCGATAATCCGACACTTAACAGTCTGACACGCTCGGTAGTCCGACGCTGCGGCAAACTACAGTAGACTGACATCGGTCTAGGCGTCTCACGTGTTTCCGGTAGCTGGTTCCAGTGTTCAGTAGCGAAGTGACTCGTGCATACGTACTGTACTTTTGGTGATCAAGTGACAGTTTACCTTCAGTGTTTTTAGTGTTAGAGTTTTGTTAAGTGTTGTGTGATGGCGAGCACAAGTGGAACCAATAAGCGTAAGCATAAAACATTAACTCTTCCCGAAAAATGGGAAATCATTAAGAGGTATGACCGTGGTGAAACTCCCACGGCTATTTCTAAGGTTTATGACATCGGGCGACCTACCGTTTATGACATTGTGAAAAATAGGGAAAAAATAGAACATTTTATAAAATGTTTTGAAGACGATTCTAAGAGAAAAACACTTAAAATGAGTGAATATCCCCAAGTTGAGGAAGCTCTTTATGCGTGGTTTAAACAGCAAAGAAACAGACATGCCCCGATTTCTGGGGATATTTTAAAAGAGAAAGCACGGTTTTTTTATCGTGAAATCATCAAAAAAGATGATTTTCGTGCCAGCGATGGCTGGTTTGAAAATTTCAAAAAGCGACACGGTATTCGTTTCTTACAGATGAGTGGAGAGAAACTATCTGCCGATGTGACAGAAATTTCTAACTTTATTGAGACCCTTCAAGCTAAAATCACTGAACTAGGCCTTACGCCTGAACAAGTTTACAATGCCGACGAAACCGGCCTAAATTGGCGGCAACTTCCAACAAAAACTTTTGTAACAGGGGATGAAAAAAAGGTTTCTGGAAGAAAACTTCAAAAAGAAAGAATTACATTAATGGTGTGTTCGAATGGCGCTGGGAGTCATATGTTAAATCTGCTAGCTGTCGGTAAAAGTAAGAACCCCCGGGCATTTAAGAACATCAATATGGATTCCCTTCCAGTTGTTTACATGAATCAAAGCCGAGCTTGGGTAACTCAAGACGTTTTCAATGACTGGTTTTTCAACCATTTTGTCCCAGAGGTAAAACAACACTTAAAGAGTAAAAGTCTGCCTATAAAGGCTCTTTTACTGTTAGATAATGCTCCCGGACATCCGGACATGGAGGGATTAAAAGTGAAGACAACTGGTGGTTACATAGAGGCCATGTATTTGCCAAAAAATACAACTGCTCTGATTCAACCAATGGATCAAAATGTTATCAAGACAATGAAGGCACATTATAAGAAGCGCCTACTTATGGATATCGTCTGTCAACCTGACGCAGACATCACATCACTTTTGAAAAAATTTAACATCAAGGATGCCATTTTAAATGCAGCATTTGCATGGCAACAAGTCAAACCTTGGCCAGAAAACCCACTCCTCCAAAATAACGACGATGGAAATGACAATGGTCAAGATGACAACGGAGTTGTGGAGGACACACTAACACTTTGCGATGATATTAACGTTTTGCAAGAATCTTCAGAAGACCTAAGAAGATGGGTATTAGACGACAACCTGTGTGCTGACCTAACAGATGAAGATATAGTACAGGAAGTCATATCTAATGAACAAGACGACACAATTGAGGAGGCCGTGGAGGCAAAATACACGATCAGCTGTGACGAAGCTATGTTGGCTGCAAACACTTTGATTCGCTGGTGTGAAGAGCGTGGACTTGACTTGAACAACGTGTTAATGTTGAGACACATTCAAGAAAATGCAATGACAGACTGTTTGCGTAAAAAGAAACAAAAGACTATTACAGATTTTTTCAACCCGTAAATGTGTAGGCCTACACCGTAGTTACAGTACAGTAATTACAATGTTGTAATGTATTTAGAAAAAACGGAGCACTAGCCTACATTGTATTTTAGTTTTGATTTATACTGTACTGATTTTTGTATTTTTATATGCAATAAATCTTTTCTTTTTTGTAATATGTAATGCCTAAGTTGATTAGTTTATACCTATAACAGTTAAATAGTCCGTGATATGTATTAAAAACTGGTTTTTCTTAACGTATGCAGTTAAATTCAGTGAAATAAAGCTAACCTTTGGTAATCCGACGTTTTTGGTAATCCGACACCCCCCCGGTCCCGTAACTGTCGGATTATCGAGAGCCAACTGTATACCGAGTGGCGAGTATGTGCCGATGCTTGATGTGATATCTGTGCATGCATACCTTCAATTTGAGACTTCAATCGTGAAAATCGGTCTGGTAGAAGAGCCAATCTAGGAGGAAAAGAAATATAAGATGATTCAACCAATACCATTAAATTTGCCATAAAAATCAATAACATTTAATAACAGTACGGTTGTATGAACATAACAAACGCAAAGAGAACAATCAGAAACAAATGCTTACATCATTCGAGGTCAGATGCTGATGTCAGCTGAGGAGTCTTTTCAAGGACTGTATGTGGTTCAAGAAATAAATTTTATAAATCAATCTAGTTTTAGTATATTATTTAATATCAACCGGAATAATACAGGATTTTTCATGCGGGGGATAGAACAGGATTTCCGTGGCCTGGTGAGCGGGATTTTTGTTTTATTCGTGTAGAAAGATTGAGTTATTATAATTCTTCTCCAATATTTCATTTGGAATAGCTCGGCCTGTTGTGTTTTTAATTTCGTTTTAAAATTATATGTATTAATCACACAAATAGAAGTATTTTATATATGAAAATACACACAAAGAAACTTTCCTCTTAAACGTACCTTTCTGAAATCAGCAAAACTTATGTTTGCGTTGAAATAATAGGAGTGCATCAACCATTAATTTTTTTAACAATGAAAACCATGAATTATGCATGATTTTTTTTGTCACACTATGGTGGCAACCCTGAAAATAGCAGAAAAGGAAATTGAGGTTTTTGTCATAACGTTGTTGGAAATTAAAGTAGATTTTTTCCCATGACTTAATTGTAACAAAACTGAGATCTTATCTATAAACTCACACAATATGTGGATGTGTACAGATCTACAGACCACGCCTGTGGTCCAATTTTGATGAAACTTGGTATGTAGGAACTATTCCGTAGTATCTCCAGGCTTTTTTCAAATTTGGATTTTTAACGTTGATTTCTGCATAAAAACACATAAATTAGCAGAAAAATTGAGTTTTTGCGTAAATGGCCCAAATGGTGTTGATTAAATTAGCCTATAGTATGTTATAGCTATAGCCCTTAAAATTCTGAACTAAATGGTATAACTCCCATTGCCATTACTGATAACTATAAATTATCATAGTTACTCCCACCACTTACCCATTATAAAGGTTGTCGACTAGCTAATGGGAGAAAGTAAGTTATGTATCAGATTGCTGATACTCTGTTTATTTTAGATTCTAGACAAAATTTTTGAAGTTTGTTTTAGTTTCAAGATTTAAAATTGATAGTTTTGACAATCTCTATTCTGTACAGATATCATGGAATGCCTGCTATCTCACACTGCTAGGCAATGTGATTGTCTACATGACGTACATCGGGTTCTTTGTGACTCTTTACCAGGAGGACAGTGACTACAGTATGTGGTGATGTGACAATTCTGTGATCTGACTTCTAGTCCATCAATTACGACTAAATACACCTTCGTTCCATTCTTCTCATAACTCTTGTGTTATTGTCGTAAAGAAACATCTCATTTTATATGAACTTTTTATTTGTAAGATTAGAGATATTCGTTTGTAACTGTGAAAAAACGGAAAAAAGGTGTTCGGAAGAATTTTAGAGGAGTTTAATTTAAATTTGGTTGTGCAGTTTAACATTATTTTAGTATCACATGTCTTTATATGAACCAGTTTCGCTATGATAACGTGGAACTTATATCTTAGTTGTAATCTATGTGCATAGTGACAAATTTCACCGATATTAGTATTGTTATTCTTTTCTAGTATGTATATTTTATTTATTGTATTATTGAGAGCTTTTGTGAGTTTAATATAATAAATTAATCAGGCGTTAAGTCTTTTTTTCTATGTATGGATCTTAATTTTATGTATCTTAATTGTGTATATTTAGAAATAAAGTTCCATTTACTATAAATATGTATGATCTTTTTCTTAACCCTTCACGGACAGGTGACAGATATATCCGCTTATGGTTTTTGATGTTCCAGATGGGAAGCGGATATATCCGCCCTGTTCCATTGTGTTATTTTATGTATACTTGTATAACAAAACACAAATAAGGAAAATTAATTTTTATTTTTCCCATAATTTTGTCCCGTTCTATGTCACGATTTCGCCCGTCCGGTAAGGGTTATCATCCTTTTTAGCGAATTTCCCTATAGGGAAGTAGCTATTACCGTAGGTCTCATAGTTAAGACCTAGGCCCGGGACCGATTTACTTTTTCATGTTGATGTCCCCAGAGGCAAATGGAAATTCGCTTGGATGGCAGGTTTGCTGCGGCGGGGGTATATTTTGTTTGAATTAACCCTTCCAGGGCTAAATTAAATGAAGGGCTGGAGCTTAATAACTTTTTGCCAAAAACTAAAAAAGTGGTTGGGTTTTGTATTTATTTCACTTGAAATAATTCATGGATCATAAAAAGATTTTCCTTAGGGCTGAAATAATTTTTGTACAAAAGTTATGAAGGAAAAAAAATTTGATTTGACGGATATATCCGTCTTTGGCCCACTAAAAACATAAGGTGGACGGATATATCCGTCTGTCGCCCTCAGTGATAATCACAAAATATGAGCACTGACAATAATCTTGAGTATTCTTGTGGGCGGCAGACGGATATATCCATCAACCTTAGGCTATTCCTTCCCTCGTTTTATTTTTTACCCATAAAAAATGTATCTATCATTCTGAAGTAAATCTAAACCACTCAGTTCCTGCTCCTATGTCTTCAATCCCATTCCCCGCCAAGGATTCCACTACGTAAAGACTGTTCTTCAGGTTCATCATGTCCATCACATTCCATACTATTATTTTCACTGCCAAGTATAAAACCCCCCTCAGACATACTTTTATTAAGCAACTCAATAACATCTTCAAATTTCAGATCGTTTGCATTAGTAACTTTGGCTCAATAACATAAAAATAAAGTACAAAACATAAAATGTAAACATCACTTACTAACAACCATGTGTGAAGTGACAGCAATATTTACTTAAGCACACTCTATGGTGCAAAATAGCCGAAACAGTCGCGGCAATTATTATTGCCAACCACAAAAACAAAATAACCCATTTATAAGGCAGTGTAATGTTTTTTGCCCTATAAACATTGTATATCAATTTGTTTTTTGGACGGATATATCCGTCTTTATCCTAGAAAAGAAATTTCTTGGGACGGATATATCCGTTTTCATTAGCCCTGAAAGTAAACAAAGATTGACGGATATATCCGTCCATAGCCCTGGAAGGGTTAAACTTTAACTTTCTATAAAATTATTATTTACCTTCTCTATAAATATTTAGTTTATTGAAAGATTTGAATTTGAGCCATACATATAACTAGATTAGTTATGGACTAGTTATATTTTACAGATGGAAACAGATTGACTAGATATAGTACAAGATTAAGATTTTTTCTAAAAATATTTTAAGAACAAAAATTCAATTAATTATAGGTAACTGTTGCATGCTGCGTACTGTATTAGTAAGATTACAGTTTTACCCAAATAAAAACTAGGTTTTATAGCAACACCCATATAAAATAAATTACATATCAAATAAATAAATAAAAAATATCTGCCCTCTTATTTAATCAAAATTTTAACCTTTTTCCTTCAAATTCTACCCATTTTGAGGAAAAGGATTCATTAAATACAGCCATTTTACTAAACAATATACATTTTTATTTATCATTCTTTGTATTTTACATAATGACAAAACTGTATTTAATATCATTGTTCTGAGCAAATGTTACAGCTTATTTACATTGTTAGATTCAACAGATAATAATGGTAATATGTTGATTTTCTCAATTTCAAACAAATACTTCAAAAGCGTACAACTATGATATGTTTAAAAATGATTTAGTTAATGTACAAATGAAAATCGTCAATATATAGTTCCACTTTGAAGTATTTGTCCAAAAACTTCTTAATTAATTCAAATAGTTTATTTACAAACTAAACTCTACAATATATCAGGCACAATCATACTTATCTATGTACATATGAGTGAAAATTTAAAAACGTACGTTTTCATGTCCCTGGCCTCTTACTTCCTAGATACTGGATTTGTAGTTTATTATTATGTGTTTTAATATTTTTTGGGACGGGGGCAACATGTTACACACATTTATTTAGTTTTAAATAGGTTCTAGGTATTTTTTTCGTATTTTTAAAGTCTCAAAATTCACGACCATGACGTGTCCCTAGGGTACATTTTCCAACTTTCACGCTGATTTTAGACTAATTATTCATGCCAAAATATATAAAGCCATATTTTTATGTCATCAATGGTTATTAAACTTACAAAAAAGGAGCATATTATAATTTTATTGTCATTAAAAACTGACTACCATGACAAAATAAGTCTGTCCCTCGATTTGGCGTCACGACCATTTGGGAAAAATTTTCAACTTTGGAGCACGACAGTGGCAAGCCTGGCGTCAATGGAGTCAGTTGGTTTTAGAGACTAGTTCGGGGTGTACGTCAGGATTGTAGTGCCGGTCGTTTCGAGTTGAAAGGAGGAATTACAAGATTAATAAAGGAAAGATTGTGTTTTTTGTAATTTTGGTGTGTCCATGACCGTGCGTAGTCATTCGATGAAGTAGACATGGTGTTGATTTTTGTTTATAAGATATTTCAATTGCAAGATTAACCTAGAAGTCCACTTTGTATCCTCGAACATGAGGTGCAGGGCTACCGCCAGAACAGAGCCAAATAACACGTAATATCACGACCAAAGTTTCACGACCATCGTGGGTTTTTTCACGACCAGTCCAGCCTTATGGATTATAATGTGTTTGGTCGTGACAATAACTTTAATATAATTGTAAATTGAACAGTTTAGTTCAATTGAAACACATATTTTTATTATAACTAACAGGATAATTGAAGGATTGTTTAGAAAGATTTAGATTTTTCTAGACAATTCACGACCGTACCGCTTGTCCCTGACCATCACGTTTATGATTTCTATCATAAAAATTAAAAAAATTAAAATATCGTCATATTTTAATGTTTTATACACAAAAGATGCACACCTCTATACAAACATAACGATTTTTCGGGTCTCAGGTAAGTTTTTTCGGAGTTATACAAACTTAAAAAGATTTTATTGGCTTTTTTTCAATTTTTTGAGTTTTATTATTTTTTTCTAGAAAGACCAAATATACCAAAAGCTCAGTGACCTTTTTATTGTATAATGGTCATAAAAGTAAATTAGTTTATAGCAAAACATAGCTATAAAAATAATATTAACTATTTTTAATATTCATATAAACGTCCGTTATGGTCGTGACAGGATTTTGTGTTTTTCCACTAAAGATGCTCTTTTAAAAAGAAACTACCAAAGATATTGCGTTACCATGGACATTTTATGAAACTTCAAATGTTAATGAAATAAAAAAAATAATAAAAGTTTTGAAAAAAGGGGGAAAAAATTTGCAAAGTGCTTTTCCTGAAAACGTACGTTTTTAAATTTTCACTCATATAAGTAAATCTTAGGTATAAAGTGAATCTTGTACAGTCGGTTGTGTATTTAACTGCACTATAAAAACCTATAATTAATTGTGTAATACTTCGAATTTTTAGGCCTTCAAAATCACTTAATTGTTTTTTTTACATGACTACTTCTTCAATAGGTTATAAATTGGCTATCGTACAATATATAAAGAAATGATCATCCACATGAAACTTACCCCAAGATTTTGTATAACTAATTTTGACACATATAGTCTTCACTTAGACTTTGCCTTTCTAGGCCAAAATTTAGTTTTGTTTCAAAAGAGTTTGTTTCAGGTCAAATAGAACATTTCCTGAAAACAGCACAATAAATGTGTTGTACGTAAATGTTACAGCTCTGCATGGAATGTGTTGAGTGGAACAAAAGTTAAAACCTGTGATGTTTTATTTATATTTATATCTAAGAGCCTTATTATGACCGCGGCTACTCAAAGGTCACTTTTAGCGGGCCATTTTATCATATGGAGCTTATTAAGCGATGCGACTGCAGTGGCAAGGCACGCGACAGTCGCGCACCCTCGCTACTATTCGCAACCCCACACGGACTGTCACGTCACCAGCGGGCCATGTTCTCATATGCTATTATTTATTAGTACGCGCAGCCACAGTCGCAGGCCACAGCGGACCCCTACTCTCTGCCCTCGCCTCAGTCCCGATTTTTGTTTCAACATTTTATTATAATTATCTATATCTATATTATTAATAAATTTTGGTTTTCTTTTCCGAGTTGGTTCGGCTCTTCTACCTGGTTTTCATAATTTTGGTGTTAAATTAAAGGTATTCACAAACAGATTTGCCTCCAAGCATCATCATTTATTTATCTACTGTACTACTCGACCAAAAAAATAAATCTGATTTTTTCAAAGTCTTACTTCAATTAAAGCGGTATTTCGCCCTTTCTGATTACATTATCCTATATGTTTTGGTCTAAGAACCTTCAATGAAATACCAGCTTTTATTTTGAGCTATTGGTTATTAAGATTAGAAGTACATGAAGCATGACACTGAATCACGAATCAACAATAATTATTATTACTTTAACACTAATCTGCAATCAATGATACGTAACTCCATTTTTATTTAAGTTATTCTACATTACTTGGTCTTAAAATAGGCCTACCCCTCAAAACAAAGGCTTTAATTTGAGATGTTATCATTTGAGTCAGTTAAGTTCAAGATACTGTCTGTATTCCTCAATTATTAGGCCTACCATTGTTGTGAATTTTAGGTAGCCCTTGGCAATGCAGAGTTTTGCTGCTAAAATTGTATTAATTATGATTATATTAAATCAAAACCATTATAATATTTAAATAAGGTAAGTGCTAGCCTCTCCTTAGCTGAAATAAAATTATTCATTTTCTTATGGGATACAGATAATTCGCCTTCTATTCTTCCTAAAAGGTAATCAAAAGAACGTCTCGTCTCCCGGAAACACCCATAATATTTCTTGTCATCCTCTCTGTGATCATCACATAAAAACTGAAAAACGGCGCTCAAGTAAAAGTAAAATAGATAGTTCAGCTTCTTTACTTATTCACTGTGAGAAACTACATGCAAGTCTGTTTAAAACTCGGTTAGATGCGTGACCTCGCCACACTTGTCGCTACCCCTAGCCACACCTGCGGCCATACCAAACGACTGAGCAGTCGCGGTCGCAAGCCACTCAAGTGGCCGCGCATAGTAAGGCTCTAAGATTTTCAAAATTAAAATGCCAGTCAACATGTCCACAACGACTGGGGCACAGTACATGATATAATATGCCTATTTGATGAAACTAAATTCAAACATTTTTGTGACCTCACTTTTTTGCCTACTACATGTGGTCTTAACATAAGTAAGAAAAATTACTAATTAGGCCTATAATAATGGAGGGGAATTTTATAAATAGGCTACTTTTGAATACCTTGCTCACAAACAAAAGCGAAGCTTTTAAAAAAATTTTTACACGAGCACTCTTCTACAATGAAGTAATTATGTCCACCATATATTTCCCATACGATTCCTGACGGTCTAATAACTTCTTTGCAATAAAAAAAAAAACATTTGTAAAACCCCATACAAAATTAATAAACCAGAGAGGTACTTCAACTGAAATCAGTAGTCAGTACATATCACAAATGTTCACTCTAATGAAGGAAAAATTTTTAAAGTTAAAATTTCAACTAATTTATTTAACAAATTAGACGAGCCTCTCACATTTTACTTCCTGGGGGTGTTATAGTCTACATAAACTCTGACCACTTCGCCAGAGTATTTCCTTTGCGAAGGCATAAAGTAGAAGTCTGGCTGCAGTTGGTCATTGCGTGGTGGTCTGTGGGTGTAGAACCCATTGTGTTGAGGTGGTGGAGGCTGGTTATGGCGGGGCAGGGAATAAGTACTACGATCTGGTGGGCCTTGTCCGTAGCGTGGCCTTTGGAGTGATCGTGTGTCTGCGTAATTACCTCGTTCTCTATCCTGTGTGTGATAGCCATGTGGAGCTTCACGGACTTCTCTTCCTTCTCTGGCATCCCTCATATCTCTTCCATCCCGCATTTCCCTTCCATCCCGCATTTCCCTTCCTTCCCGCATTTCCCTTCCATCCCGCATTTCTCTTCCTTCCCGCATTTCCCTTCCTTCCCGCATTTCCCTTCCATCTCTCATATCTCTTCCATCGCGCATATCTCTCCCATCCCGCATTTCCCTGCCGTCCCGCATTTCTCTACCATCCCGGGTGTCTCGAGGCATAGGTTTGGATGTGAGAGGCATCGTTGATCTAGAAGAACCGTTGGTATGTGCTATTGAACCTGGCTGCTTTTCTTCAGCTTCAAAAGCTTCAAAGGCGTAATTAGTGTTGGCGGCTGAATAGTCTTTCCATGCAGAGTTTGGTATGAGGTTGTCCTGGAAAATAATATCTATAAGTAAAATATATTTAAAAGAGAACATCCTGTTATATATAAAAACATAAAAAACTGCATTTTATTTATTATAATTTATGCAGCTTATAATTTATGCTGTATGATTATTTCATCAATTTTTAACAAGTCTACTTGGTAGTAGACTTGTCGAAAATTTATTAAGTATAATCATAAAGCATAAATTATAAATACACTTCTTTGTTTTCAAATAGGAAACCTCCTTTTAGTGCTTCATTTAATCATATTTTAAGTTGAGTAAGAATGTAACATAGAACATAGGGGCCTAGGGTTTATATTTATCTGTGAAGATTTCTATTTGGATAGCAATGTTGGAATTCAAAATTCATGAGAAATGAGTCCACTCAGGCACAAAAGTAAAATAGACCATTAAACTTAACACTGTACACAAAAATTAGAATATGAAAATGGTATTTTTGAGCCTTTCTTGTAATTGTGTGTACGGTAGTGTTAATTTGTCAGCTATCCTAACAATAATCGTTAGTAAATATTTTAACTTCTTAGGTTAGATGTTAGCTTTTGTGTAAATCAAAGTTTGTTCATATCACATATTACCTATTGAGTAATAATAATGCAGCATTCACCATGGTCCAGGCAAATTAAACCAAAAAAGACAGTGCTTTATTCTGAAAACAAAAACTGGAAAGTTTTTTAATAACTTAAGAGGGTCATAAATAAGAGTCCTGTGAGTTTGCAACAGATTCTGACATCTGCTTAAGTTTTGGGAGTCAAAAAGCTATGAAAATTAATTTTGCACTTTTTTCAGTTGTTGCTTATAACTCTTAAATGACGCATCCTACGGAAATTATTGTTCAGTGGTTTCTTTAATTGCGGTAAATTATGCGTTGACTAGTGTTAAATTTGTCAAAATCAGCTGAGCCCCTGAGCTGCAGTAGCTTTTCAAAGTTTGGCTATTTTCACCAACATGGCTAAAAAGTTGATTCTTTGTTCATAAAAGGTAGCTTGGGACGAATTTCTAGAACCCTATACAACAATATTAGACTTAAAATTACATAGGGGGTCACGCTCTCTTCACTCCTTGGATAACCCTCTGGATGATTACCATGGAATAAACCACTGGAAAAATTTAATTAATTTATATAATCCATTTAACAGGCAGAATTGACAATTTTTCCAGGTTGGTAAAATTGCCCAAATTTAAAAATCGATTGCGGTGAGCTGATCTTGATGAATTAAAAAGTATTCTACGCAAAACTTTATTTTCTTCAAACTACATTCAGGTATGTTGTTTAGGAGTTGTAAGCCGTAAACTGATGAACAAAGAATCAATGTTGAACTGATCAAGCCATGTTGGTGAAAATAGCCCCACTTTGAAAAGCTAATGCGGCTAAACGGCTCAGCTGATTTTGACATATTTAACACTCTCGTCGACACATAATTTACTGCACTTAAAGAAAAATGTTTTTAGGATGCGTCGTTTAAGAGTTATAAGCAATAAACAAAAGTTGTCATAGTTCTTCGACTCGCAAAACTTAAGAAGACTTCAGAATCTGTCGGAAACTCACAGACCTCTTATTTAGGACCCCCTAAAGGTACTAAAACACTTTCCTGCTTTAGACGATTTTTTGGGGAGCATAAGCCTAATTTGCCTGGGCTAATAAGGAAATTTACCTTTTCAACCATTTTTTGTGCTTGAGAGAATAAACCAGAAAACAAAAATCCATGCAGATTATGAAGTTTCATATTCTTCACACAATATCAACAATATCCATTAGGTAACAAAAGAAAATCATTAATCTAAAACTGAATCCCTTCTACCACCCATCAGCTTATTCATTTTGTAAACAATATTTCCGATTCATTGAAAAGTATTTACAATAAAATCAAATATATACAATCATTTTGCCTTATTAGGAACATAGGTGTTCAGTGAGTAGGTTAAGGCAACTGTAGTAAACATGTAAAACTAACACATTTCAATTTATTTATATAAAGTTTTTCAAACAAAATTTTAATTTTACACACTAAGAGCTAACATATTGTAAAATACCGATTAACGTAAACTGTGAGTGTTATTCAAGCAAAGCCGAACAAGTTTAAAGATCGTAAGTGCGTGCATGTGTGGTAAAGATTTGAAAGATACAAAATAAATAGTTTGTGTTAGGTACCTTTTATCATTGTCAATCCTTTTACAGTTCCAATTTTATTTTCTAAACTTAGGCTGCCTGATTCAAATCTTCTCTGTTGAACATCCATCGTACATAAATATCCATACGCACACATACAGAACAAACACACAAAACAATTTTCTTGCTGGCTGGTACATGAAAAAAATTCCAGATGGGGACCGATGCTCTAATACAACTTCTCATATCAGTCCGCCTGAGGCATCTGAAATTTTTAATTGTTTTACTTTTTAGGCTTACCTAAGTCAGTAGTCCAAGTTACATTACACACGAGACATAAACATACACAATAGCGCTATCATGACACGCCGACGGTTGTAGGTAGAGTCCAGTATAGTACTGATGTTCACAGTCACACTACTGTTGTGTAGTTCGCAGTAGCCTACTGTTTTGTGTGTAAATTCTGATGTATTTGACATGATGCTGCATTGCACAAAACGTGTAGCTTTAAATAATTTAAGTTTGACGTAATAATGTGGACTACTGAGTAAGCCTAAAAAGTCATATACATAGTGACTATAAATAGTCCAGGGGCTATCAGAATGAATATTTATTAATTACTTAGTCGGCCAAACAAGTTGAAATGTTTTGCGTTTTCTATGTTTCCTACATAATTAAGCCTACTGTATGTGTGCTTGGATATATGAAACACACATTAGATAGAGCCTCGATAACAAGTCTGTCATGGGGAAAATTAAATAAGACTTGTAATCGAGGTTACCTTCTAATATAGAAGTTTGCTAACAAGTGATTTAGGCATGATATCAAATCAAATTTATTTGAAAATGACCCTTGTTATCAATGATGACTTGTCATCATCTGTTTACACACCAAACGAATGTTTAGGAACAACGGATTTTAATGAAACATCCTAAGCCTTGAAACTTACTAACATTGGCAAGAATAAAAGGTAACACAACGTATTTATTCTGCATCAATTTTCAATCCAGAAGGCAAACATGAAGAAGGTTGACAGTTTGACAGACAAGGGGAAGTTGACGACTCACCGTCACCATCTCTGGTTTCTACTCCACGTAGCGGCCGCGTGCTGTGGGTGGTAGGCCGGGTGGGGATAACCTTGTCCCATGGGTATCGCATATACTCGCTACATCACACAACCTAACGTTACCTTATGCAATAGCGGTGTGTGTTATCGCAAAGCTATTACTGCCGAGCATTTGTTCAACAAAGTTTGACAGTATTTAAAGTTATTACATTATTGGTAGTTTTAAGTTAAAAGTTTTATACTTAAGTTCTAGTTTTCATCATTTTTATACTCATAGTTAAATGCATGTTCTGTGTAATGTTAAACAACCTAAGAAATTATACTTGGTACTTTTTAAAAAGTAGGCTAACTTTCTGTAAATTTGTCCAGGTTTGTTAATTAAATATAAATTTTGATTCTAACATGTTTATTCATGTTTATTCTGCACTCAGACCATCTATTATTCAATATTTGTATTCGTTCTCCAGACTTGTTCAATTCTTCAAAATAATATATATTTTAATCAGTCCATATTCACCCCTGTTGCTAAATTAAATGTGTGGGCAAAATATACCTATTACCTTTCTTTAGCAGTCCTGGTTATGAAAAACTCCAATTTGCCATTATTTGTAATTCAACAATATTTCTTCAGAGCACTAAGACTCCTATTATTTTATGTAGGGTATTCTACCCAAGAGATTGAAACATATTTTCAAAGTTTGCAAGAGATTTGATTTAAAACATTTCCCTAAATACTGATAATTGAAAAGCTTTCAGTAAGTACCTTATACATCCCTAAGAAGTTATCAGTTCTTGAACGATTGAATAAAACCATAGACATAAAGAATTAAATATAGACTGTCAGTCGTGCTGCGGTTATCATAGGTTCTGGCGCACACTGCTGGGTGCGCCGTGTAGTTTGAATAGCGTGTACACCATAACTACATGGCGCCCAGCGGTGTGCGCCAGAACCTATGGTAATCGCAGCACAGCTGACGGTCTATATTTTGTTCTCTTTGTCAATGATAAATCATAAAACTAAAAAAACATAGCTAAACACGTGTATCATGCCTCAATGCCAGCTATTGTTTTTTAAACATTGATTTTAGGTTTTTACTTTCAAGCATGTTACCTTATTGTTAGGCGCAGGAGACCTCATGGTTCTGTAGATGGTACAGCCGGCCTGTACGATAGCCACGGCTACGAGGGCGATGATACACCCAATGACGATCCACAGTTTCGTCGCAGACAGCAGAAGAGTTGAACTTGCTGAGGGATCGTTATCAATCAAGTTTGTCGTAACTGAAAGAGAAAATGTTGTGATAAAAGACATAACCATAACGAGTTTTGTAAAATTTCAGGATCATAGATTGGATTCTTTGGTCCACTATATTATTTTTGTGTGTGACACAATCATGGTCAAATCGGCTATTTAAGCCTCTTTTTAGTAACCTAAATATACTATGTTGATTGTGGATTATTTATTTATCTTTTTTTTCAGATTAATATTTAAATTCAGAGGAAAGCCATAATTATTTTTACAGGTTTCATATTGTATCATGTCTCCCATTATTCTCTGATTCCACTCTCATCCTCTATTTATATTTGGACTAAAATACACCTCAAACGTGTCTCTAATTTATAATAATCATTATATAGTGGTCTTCACACAAAATTCTTTGTTTGTGGAAATATTAAGAGAAATATATATGTTTGTGGAAAATATAGTACGTCACTCGACCAAAATGTGTTTACCGGACTCATATGGTAATCCTGCACTCGACTTCGTCTCGCACGGTAACGACCACACTCGTCCGGTAAACACCTATTTTCAGGACTAGTAGGGTAATATACTATTACAACTTAAGTTCCTTTTCAGCCTTGGAAAAAGATCTAATATTTCATGGAAAAAGATGTGCAGTGAGTAAATTTGAACATAAATTTGGCATAGACATGCTAAAATTCCAAGCCAAACCAAGACTACTAAAAACAGTAAGAGGAATTGTATTTTCCACTTACTCTCCAGAGGTTCCACTTTGAGGTACTGAGGGTCTAGGGTTAGAGCTCCAACCTTGCCACTAATGACTGTCTCGTTTAGAACTTGCACAACAGAGTCATGAGAATCTTCCAGAGATCTGCCTCGGTCCAACTTGGCCTCGTCCAGCTCTAGACTCAGCCGGGCAATCACATTGTCCTCCTCCCTGCAAAACACTCATCTCCATTCATACTTGCCTTAAAATGGCTTTGTATGGTCGCCATTTCAATGAAAAGTAAAAGAAAGTAAAGCAAAAATACAGATAACTTTAAAAGCAAACAGGACTTACACTCAAGCGGTTTATTTCTATGGGAATAGCTGAGTAGTTTTACTGATTTGTCTTTTGCCAAAGATTGCTGGTTCAATTCTCAAAACGAATCCAGCTAGCCACATAATTAGGCGTTAGTATGAGGAAGATGAATTCAATATCAATTTCCAACATATCCACAAAGATTTAACACGTTCAGTGCGGCAGGCATTCCAACAAGCGCTCGCCAATGGCGGCGAAGCCCCGGCGCGGCACCGTAACAGCAAACGCAATTGGCATTAAAATATTTCAATCTGACGAATAACAAAAGAGCAGCGGTGATTGTACTACGTTACCCCGAGATTGGACGTAGTTCCCTAAAACACCCAAAGGTAGCAGCACTGCCTGGATCAGTAGTCAGTGGCCTTGTAATATGGCTTGAAGAGAGAAAATCCCCGAAACCGGGACAAAAGCATTGTCAAAGACGGGATTTTACGGGGCATTTTTGTACCAACCTACACCAAAATAAAGCTCACATTCTAAGCTACAGACTAGCAACGATTTTAACGTTCTCCGGCAATAGCTGAGCTCATACTGAACTAATGTAGTAGGGGTTGCGCAACTACATCAATTGATGTAGGCCGACAGGAGCGCTCGTGGCGTGACTACATCAAATGATATAGTCAGCACTGAACGTGTTAAGGGATATGTGGATCGCTTTCCTTTAAGAGCGTGTGTGGTTCTGTCATACAAAATGTTACTGACATCGACACAACAGAAAAGGGTCAGCAGCTATTACATTATAAAAAAAAATAAAACAACCTGTCCATGATCATGAGACATGATAAATTTGTTCTGGCTAAGAAATAGCTGATCAGTATCAAAGTTATACTTTCTAATCTACTGTCACTCTGCATAGCCTTAAATTAAATAAATATAAAATATGTACCCAAATGTGTAACTATCAAAAATAATTGACTGATTGAATAACATATTAATTGTTTTCTTACTTAACCTTGTTAATCTTGTTTACTTAACCTGATTCAAAATCACAGCTAAGTAAAATTATGTCAAACATGACATTATAAAAATAAGCTGAAATGGAATCTGTTGACATGTGTTGTGTTTTTAATTAGTGATAAGCGAAGAGTATTTTAATGTTCAAATAATGTTTTATTTTAATAACTTTCCCAAGAATTGCTTGGTCTTACAATTTATCGTTGATTTTTGATTAGGTCAATAAAGGTAACACGAATAGAAAAGACTTGCACATTCTAAAGGAGCCTCATTCCATGCACTATTTTATATTTTAATTCATAGCACTTAAAGAATGAAAGGAAGGGGTGGATTCTATGTCCAAGCATGGCAATCAAAGCTTAATACAATCAAGAGCATAGCTTACTGCTGAAACTCTTTGACTGCCATCTTGTGGAAGCCAGGTATCTTGTTGAGAGCTCTGTTGAAGCCATCACTGACAGTGTTTGCCAAAAGGTCAAAGTCCGGAGAACCAGTTGCAGGAGCTTTAAAGTTCTGTCCTAGTTGCACCAACTTGACAGCTACATTGTATCCGATTCTAGGTGGCTCAGCTGTCGTGGGAATCTCCTCTCCTAGTAACACATTATGATTGAAGTGAATTTTGCCTGTCAATTTATGTACGGTATACTTTTTACAGAACCTTGTCAATCAAGCTAATAAAAAAACTAGAGAGACTTAATGACTTTCAGAATTAAACATAATAATCATGACACTAAATACCTCCGTAGTGTAAAGCCTTTTATATCAATTTTCCTCCTGTTCTGATTAGAATTATTTAAGGTTTAATAGATTTTTAAGGCAACAAAGCACTTAACTTAACTTAAGATTTGGTCGCCAAAAGTATTGGATACGTATTCAAATCAGTTCTTGTAAAAAAATGTACAGTACTTATACCCTATTTTAATATTGCAAAATAACAGATAGACTATGCAATATGCATGTTAGTTTTCTTTATGACAAAATCTAAATCTATGAAAGAGGAAGTATGTATGTATCGGGTGTCCGAAAAATAACTCCCTTGTTTTATCAAATTTCTGAGGACAGTATTCGTTAGAATGGACAAAAATACTTCTTTGGGCCTGTTGAGTATGCTCTTAAGTTTTAGTTTCGTACGTTGGTATTAAGGTTGGCACACCTGTTTGACCTTGAGCGTGTAGTTCCACCACGCGCCGCGCCGAGCGCTAGACTCGACTGTCTGACTGTCAGTCAGTGCAATGGCTACTCCACAGCAGAAAGCACAGTGCGTAATTTGGTTAGTGGAAACAAAATCTGTTACTACTGTGCAACGTAACTTCAGACGTGAGTATGGTGGCACTGCACCTGATCCGAAATCAATTCGCAGTTGGTTAAAACAATTTAAGGAGACGGGAAGTGTTTTAAAAGGAAAACGACCGGGTAGGCCATCTGTTTCAGTGGAGAATGTAGAGAGAATCAGAGCCTCATGCTAACGAAGCCCTAAGACGTCACTAATGTGTCGTAGTCTACAATTGGGATTACCAAGATCTACTGTCTACGGCGTGGTACGTAAAAGACTGAAATTACATGCGTACAAAATCCAACTGGTCCACAAAATAAAACCAAATGATAAACGCTTAAGGTTAGATTTTGCTGTGGACATTCTCAACAGAATTGATGAGAATCCAAACTACCTGAACAATGTTTTGTTCACTGATGAGTCAACGTTCCATGTTAACGGGGTTGTAAATCGCCACAACTGCCGAATTTGGGGGTCTGAGAAGCCACGAGAAATTGTTCAACACCAACGAGACTCCCCTAAGGTTAATGTGTGGTGCGGTTTAATGAACGATCGAATTGTTGGACCTTTTATTTTTTGTGAAAACACTATAAATGGCGATATCTACTGTGAAATGCTTGAACTGTACGTGTTTCCACAGGTGAATGACATCGAGGCGGAAAAAGGACTAGTAATATTCCAGCAAGACGGTGCGCCGCCACATTACAAAAAACGTGTGCGCTCGGCCTTAAACGCTCGTTTCCCGGCAAGATGGATGGGGAGAGCTGGCCCGATCGCGTGGCCTCCAAGAAGCCCAGACATAACACCACTGGATTTTTTCCTGTGGGGTTACGTTAAGAACTTGGTTTATTCAGAAAAGATACGTGACATTGACCATCTTCGTCAAAGAATCGTAGCTGCAGTAGAATCAGTGACACCTGATATGTTAACTAACACTTGGAGAGAGATCGAATACCGGTTAGATATCTGTAGAGCTACAAATGGGTCACATATCGAGGTGTACTAATGTCAAAATAAACTTGAGTAAACCCTCTTTAATTTCATGTATTAGATATAAGAATATAATTCTCTACAATAAACAATCGTTTATCAAAACTAGGGAGTTATTTTTCGGACACCAGGTATACAGGGTGATTTGTACTCAGTGTGACAAAATTTTTTTCGATGTAAGTACAAAGTAAATGAAGTGTGATGATGCATATCAAATGTTCCAAGTCTAAAAATTAGCTTCCCAAAAAATTATTTTATGTTTTTAAAAAACAATCATGTTTTTAAACTTAATACAGCGATTTCTCAATTACCTGTATATGGATTTGAGTAGATAATGCCATTTTCGTGTTCTAGATTAAATTTTGAACAAGAATAATGGAAAATGACGGAGGATCAATTGTAAAAACTCCATGGTAAATAGATTCAAAGATAAAATTTAAGATATTTGATAAAAATTTTAAAAACAATGGTCCATTGCATTTTTCACACCCTGTATACAAGAAAGTGTCGGAATATGTTAAAAACTGTGCCATTTTATAAGCTTTCCAACAATATGCTACACTATTGAGGTTTAGATATTTTTTTGCTTGTTTTAGTGGTTTGAATGCCAGAAAACAAGGAACTTTTTTACTGTTTTTACTGTTCAAGCTGAATCAAAAATACAACTTTTGCTTAATACATGCTGACTTTCCATGTTTTAAATGTTAAAGACACCATGCTTTGTAGTTTTCAAACCATTAAAGCGTACATAAGCCGACATAAACCTCAATAGTGTAGCATATCGTTGGAAAGCTTATAAAATGGCGCAGTTTTTAACATATTCCGACACCTTCTTGTATACAGGGTGTGAAAAATGCAATAGACAATTGTTTTTAAAATTGTTATCAAATATCTTAATTTTTATCTTTGAATCTATTTACCATGGAGTTTTTACAACTGATCCTCCGTCATTTTCCATTATTCTTGTTCAAAATTTAATGTATAACACGAAAATGACATTATCTACTCAAATTCACAGGTAATTGAGAAATCGCTGTATTAAGTTTAAAAACATGGTTATCTTTGAAAAACATAAAATAATTTTTTGGGAAGCTAATTTTCAGACTTGGAACATTTGATATGCATCATCACACTTCATTTACTTTGTACTTACACCAAAAAAAATTTGTCACACTGAGTACAAATCACCCTGTATGTATATTGCCTATGGACTCAGAAACTGCTCGACAGATTGTAATGCAAATTTCCAGCATTATTAAGCATGATTCAAGGATGGCTTGTGTCAAGTTTGGTGAAGGTCCGTCAAAAGGACTCCGCCCCAGAGGGTTTTAAGGGGTCCAATGTCAGACATTTGGAACTACAAAGTTTACAAATAAAAATCTATCTATATTATTAATACGCTACATGCAACTTTGTAAACAATAAGGCTTTTTTTGTTTTAAGATTTAACCCCACATATTATATACCAAAATGTTTGTCTAGGTGTGTAGATTTGCAAACTAACCTTACATTTTTGAACAAGTCCATTGGGCTCTGCCTCAGTCTCAGTTGCTTTTTAAGTTCCATGTTATTCTTATGAAGAATATTTGTTTACATTATAATCAGTTGAATAATTTAATTGCTATTAATATTTTAGTTGCAATTTAAGGAAACGTGTGCTACAAACATTTTTACTGACTTGGTTTAAATGAAATATTTACTATTTTAATTTGGGCCGGCGTAAATATTACAATGGAAAAAACTGATAGAGCCTGGACGATGATATACTAAAAAGAAAACTGAATTAACTAACACTGTGCTGCATTTTTTGAGCTATCATTGAAAGGAGCAGATTTGCAAACTATGTAAACATAGAAAGTTATAGAGCACCACCGCAAGTAGAAGAAATAGAAATAATGTTTTTTTTACAATTTATAATCTTTATTATGGACAACCTAATGCATCTATCAATGGGAAACATTTGTAGAAAACCATAAAAACCAAGCTCAGCTTTTGAAAAATGGGGAAACGGAGAACCGCCGAGCGCTGGCGCTAATCTGGGGCCAAACCCTTTTACGCTTCATTAGGCTTCAGCTCGCACACCAACTAACACTCCCCCCCCCCCTAGAATACCGCTTTCCCCAAAAGTACCTGACCTGTGGGGTGAGAGAGGAGGATAACTTTGGTTGTTGGGGGGGGGGGGGGGTTGCAAAGGGAAATGCCTTTGAGGAGGAAACGCTTCCGTTAGTGAGAGGACAACCGATGGGATAGTGACCATCCGAACATAGAATTCTGATTGTTGAGATAGTTAAACTTAAACTTAAGCATGAGTCGTCTCAGGAAATTATCAAATAGTTTCTAATAGTGGTTACCTAGCCTTTTATTTTCTGTTCCCTTAGTGCACTGCTTTATTTTACAATAAAAACCTAAAACTTAGCTGTGATTTTTTGTGAATTTTATTGTGAGCCTATTTAGTCAATCAAATGCATAAGAAAAATACCCCCGCTGCAGCAAATCTGCAGACTAAGCGAATTTCCATTTGTTTGAGTTGATTTTCAATTCAATTAATCAAATCAATCAATCAAATCAATCAATTTAAATAACATTAGGTTTAACGAGTACCTAGGTTTGCTGCTACAAGAAAACTAATAAAGTGTGTTTTTTAGTAAAATAAATAGCTTAGTGTTAGTATAAAATAAATAAACTTGCCAAGTTTGATCAAAATATATCCACAAACAAGCAAACTACAACATTTTCGGGGGAGCGAGCTAGTCAAGTGGGTAGAGAGCAGAACTCAGGTTCCTGGGGTCCCGTGTTAAAATCCCGCCAATCACCAATGGATTTTATCTAAGTGATAATGCCGTAACCCCTAGGTCTAGCCTAAACACTTTACACTATTCAATGTATTTCTATACAAGAGATGAATAAAGTCGTTTTGAATTGAATTGAAATTGAACTGAAGTAATGTGAAAAACAATTCCAGGCTCGTGCCTATCGTCCTAGGAAAAAAACAAACAAAAAACTACAACATTTTACAATATTCTCCATAAGAATAACATGGGAATTTTATACAGGGTGTTGAAAATGTCTGGAACCAACATTATATCTCGTGAGTGGTTAAAGAAAAACAACTGATATTTTGTGTACGGATATACTATGGTTTTACCTATCTTTTGGTGCCTTATGAAAATTTTTACCACTTATAGGGAACGTCCTGTGGAGGTTGCAGTAAAAAGTTTTAATGGAAGCCTATTGTAAATGATACATCATTTTAAAGGCCATTTTTTTCTGAGTAAGGAGCCACAAGGTTCATCTCAAAAGGACCACCCTAGCAAAAATGGCGACTGTTTGAAATTTAAAAAACCACTTATAGGGAACGGAATTTTTAAATTTCAAACAGTCGCCATTTTCGCTAGGGTGGTCCTTTTGAGATGAAACTTGTGGCTCCTTACTCAGAAAAAAATTGCCTTTAAAATGATGTATCATTTACCATAGGCTTCAATTAAAACTTTTTACTGCATCCTCCACAGAACGTTCCCTATAAGTGGTTTTTAAAATTTCAAACAGTCGCCATTTTTGCTAGGGTGGTCCTTTTGAGATGAAACTTGTGGCTCCTTACTCAGAAAAAAATGGCCTTTAAAATGATGTATCATTTACCATAGGCTTCCATTAAAACTTTTTACTGCATCCTCCACAGGACGTTCCCTATAAGTGGTAAAAATTTTCATAAGGCACCAAAAGATAGGTAAAACCATAGTATATCCGTACACAAAATATCAGTTGTTTTTCTTTAACCACTCACGAGATATAATGTTGGTTCCAGACATTTTCAACACCCTGTATTTAAATTTTTTTTCTTCGTTACCAATAACCGTACAAAACCACTTTTATATACTAAAGTTATTTGTTTTTTTTAAGCTCCTTAAAAAGGTTTAGAGAGAAATTAGGAAATTTTATGTTTTGAGGGTCAAAAATGAGAAAAACCAACTTTTAACCCATAAAACCCCCCATAAGCCCTCGTTTCCATAGTCCGATCATGCTGGTTCGCGAATTCAAGTTGTATCTCACCTTACACCTTCAAACCAAATTTCATCAAAATCGGACAAAAATTACTCAAGTTAAGGCGTTCACGGACACATATATATGTAAAAATCTAAGTAATATATATAAATTTAAACGAATGGTGTTTTTGCCCTCTGGGGACATCATAATGAGAAAGTAAATCGGTCCCGGGCCTAGGTGTTGCCGTGCCACCTACGGTAATAGGGAAATTCACTAATAAATAGTTAAATACCTAGTTGAGTTCCTTGAAACAAAAATTAGTTATATATAAGCGGTGTCTGGAAGGTCATGTGGGTTTTCATTCAGTTTAACGATGCCTATTGATTTGTTTCTATTGTTTCAGTGTAAGTTGTTAATTCGATCAGTTTGTTTAGAGAATTTCCTTTTCAGGGGATAAGCTAAGCTTATTAGGCTAGTCAATCTAGAGTCAAATTAAGCATAACATCGGAAGGGCAATAGAAATAAAATAGGTATATGAGATTTTGTCAACAAAGGTGTCCACAACATCATACTAAAATTCGAGAAAAATCGAAGTGGCGGAAAGCCGCCCTATTGGAAAAAAGCTTCTGCCTTATTGGATTTATTAGTTTGACTACTAAGCGTCTTAAAAATCTACGGTTTGTTTAAATAGCTTCCTCATTAAGTCTACTTTAAGATAAAAACAAATTCTATACCATTTCAATATTGTTTTGTTTAAATTAGACAGCTTTAGATTTAAGAAATACAAAATTTCAAAGATTTGTTTGGTAAAACTTTTAAATTTTTGCAAATACAAACTCAGCTGTGATATGATCATACATATTTTGTGGTTATTAAAATAATCTGCATTAAATTTTGAACAATAATAATCATCAGTTTGTGTATAGCTTCGAAGATGGGATATATTTGTTACTAGCTGTTTGCCCGTTCTACGTACGGGAATCTTGTAGTACGTTGAAACCTTATATTCAGAACAGGAGTTGGTTTGCATATTTAGTCTGCATATTTCCAGATATGCTGGCAAAACTATTACTGTATAGGAATTCATATAAACCTTCGCAAATCTGACAGTTTCAAAGCCAAAATAAATGCTTCGCAATTAAATGTCACCCGATCGTGTTAGTCCATATTTTATATCTAATGATAAAAGGAATTGCTTTATAGATCTATGAGGCATAGCCCTTAAGGTAGGCCTGTAATTGAAAGTTACTTTTCACACTGGTTAAAAGTAGTTAAAATACTACCTCAACCTCACTAATGCACACTTTATTCGGGTTGAAATTTTCATTAACAAAGGTGCTCTTGTCTTTTCCAAGAAACACTGAGAAATAAGGACATTAATGCGTTACCAACAGACATACACAAACAAATAAATACAGAATCGAATTAGGGGATTTGCTACGCTTTAACCAAAGCAAATTACAAACAAAATAATTATTTGAATGTTTTGATAGTGTCATCAAATGTTGTGATAATCGTTTTTAGGCCTAATCAAACTGTAAAATTTGTGTAAATCCGTTGACAAATGCAGCACTAACGATAACTATAGTTCTAAGTAGTGATGTGTTTGTACGTAAAAATGATTCTTACTGCTACCACCGGTTCTAAGGAAAAGTAGCAGTACCATAAACCAACGTTTACTTTTAAGAAAAGAACTATAGTACTTACGACCAATTCAAACTGTCCTTCTAATCAAACTGTTTTATAGGTGTTAATCCGTTGGCAAATATATAAATAAATAAATACACAGGCCACAAAACATGTAACATGTAACGTTAACAACGTAAAGCTTTAAAACTCACTATGGTTTGCTAAAAAAAAAAACTTTCACTTGATGTGGTGCAGTACCGATGTTATTAATCTCCCTTGGTTTTAAATGTCTTTTAAGTTCGAAAATCAAAGTTATTTCCCATTAATAGCATTATCTCTAAGCAACTTTTAATGTTAACATATTAATGACAGTTTGAAGAAACCACCTTTATCCAAACAAAGGTTTCTTATGTAAAAGATTACGTAATATCATCTAAACGATAATTGGTACATCTAGCAAACATTCGGAGGAAATGTGACAAAAAACGCACAAATCTGGGGTTTTGGGCGTTTGTAGTTTTACTTCCTAAGTAGGAAAAGTACCGATATCGTTGTCGAAATGTAAGTAAGTAGAAACCAAAAGTGACACATTGGAAAAGCGAGTTTAGCTACAACTGTAAGTTAAACCTCTGTTACGATCACAGCAAAATCAGAAAGATCTTCCAAGATCTCAGCAACATCCACGATCACCCAGTCACCCACTGCAGTTGTGATTTTTTACTTTGCACTTTACACAACTGTCCTTGAAGCGCCGTCAATGAGTGGAAACCTTTTGTAAGATACTTGCGATTAATTAAACCGGTTAAGTAAGGCACAACGTTTTTAATCTCACTTGGTTTGGATGTGCTAACAAAACTTGATCGGAAATGGTTGCAGTATTTGTAAACAACTTTTACTGTAAACATATCAGTGAGAGCTAGAAGTGAGAACTAATCCAAACAGCTGATCGTTATTTCATCAAATGTAATAGTAAACATTAGGAGAAAATTTGACAAAAATCAAACAAAATTGGGTTTTTGATGGTTTGTTATTTTGTTTTCAAAGAAGTGAGGCCATGTTTTTATAGCCAAAGACACTCTCACCAATCCAGTAAATACAGACAAATAATTAGAACCTTGATCGGTATTCTAGTTTTCTAGGAGTAGGCCGCGTAAAATGACATTTTGGCGTTACAGACGCAACCACAGAATGGACAAACAGACATACGGACAGAAATTGAGATAAGACTCGTTTCGGCTTTCTTAGGCTATGAAACGTAAAAATAACCAAAAACTGCATGATTCTAAGCAATGTACAGACAAAACTGTAATTTTATTTATATAGATTAGTCTTCAACTTGGAACGTCTAGGCTACTAGACGCGCGCTGCATCGTTACATCTAGTCCGGGTAAAATACACTTTGAGGCGGGAAAAATTGCTTTAAGAAAATTTAAGCCATATTTTGGAATCATACATACAGGACAATATATAAACAAAAATCCAACAAAATCCGAGCGTGGGAACACTGAAAAAGTAGGGGTTTTCAAACATACCAAAATTTAATTTTTCATAATAGGCAATTACAGTAGTAGTCAGAGAAATAGGATATGACCTTAACACAATTCAATGTTTTATGGTTTTATTTTTATTGTTGGGTGTGCAGAGTGACATACTAAAAGTTGTAAAAAATTGGTCTACGGGAAACCCCTAAAATCACTATTAAAATTGGCGGCTTTTCCCAACATAGGACAAATTTTGAATAGGAGTCAGACAACTGTCCAAAAGCTGCTGGGTGCTTTCCAAAAGTAAAAGGCTCGGGTGGGCAGTGGAGAGAAGATACACTAAGGTAGACGACCACTTGGAAGACCAAGTAATGAAAGATCTCCAGACTGGGATCTATATTAGAAGAGGTTGGAGGTAGAAGAGAAGAGAGCCAGAATCTGCTGGAAGAAAAGGTACAGTAGGTGATAATGCAATGGAAGGTAGCTAGTGATGTGACGAGTCGGGTACTTTCCTGACTCGAGTGACTCGACTCGCCAACTGCTGTGAACTCGAGTTACGAGTCGAGTCAGACTCAACTCGAAACTCGACCCGAAACCAATGCATCATGTGAGTCTGCACTCTGCAACGACTCGGAGTCGACCAATAGGGTTATAGTTTTGCGAGTCGGCCGACTCGGTAGCGGCCAATAGCGTATCAGCTTTACGAGTCGAGTCGAGAGGCGTTCCGAGTTCGTGTAAGTTCGGCATTCTCCGTACGAGTTCGTTTTGTGGATCGTGAAGGGTTATTATACTCGCACTCCGCCAATAGGGTTTCAGTTATACGAGTCAACTCAACTCGCGTTCCGCCAATAGCGTTGCATCTATGCGAGTCGACTCGTAATGCTATTGGCCGAAAGCGAGTAAACTCGAGTCAACTCGTTACGTCCCGAGTTCGTTAAGGTTCGGCTTTCTCCGTATGAGTTCGGTTTCTTGACTCGGCTTTTGCGAGTCGGACTCGTAACGTTACGAGTTCGTGTAGCTTCGGCAATCTCCGTACGAGTTCGTACCAACTCGAGTTGGGAATGAGATGACTCGAGTTGACTCGACTCGGGTCTTGACTCTAGTCAACTCGACTCGCCAACTCAACTCGTCACATCACTAAAGGTAGCTACTGAACTTAAAACCAGATACCTTCTCCACAGGACCGAATGCAAATCCTCTGTGCAGATATTCTTGGGATAACTTCATGTTTGCGTATTTTCTTATTGACGGAATTGAACACTCCTCCTTTGACAGGGAACATCATGTAGAAACACTTATCGTCCGTGAACGACATATCCTGAAAAAAACATCTGACAATTACCTAAACGTTGAACATTTAAAAAAAATTGATCAAGGATAAGGTTTATTTGCAGTGGCCAGTTTTAGTGAATAAACAAGTATATTTTTAGTTGTAGTGTTATGTACAAAAGAGTAGGCCTATGCTTACACCATGAGGTTTTAAGGATTTGTGCTGGCACCTTATAAACCCTTAGAAACGCCCCAGAAAATTTATGCTTAAAAAAAATTAAGTTAGCCAAGTGCAAAACAACATATGTGCGGTTCTGACAGAAGATAAATAAATTCTTAATTCTTTTCTTGCACGTTTACCCCATATCCTTGACTATCATATCTGTTCAAGTCTGACAAAACAAAAAAATGGTTCATTTTAAGGAATAGGTCATGCATACCTATAAACAAATAGACTTACCGGTAAGTATACTTTTTGTTTATCTCAGTTTTAAGAAATTGAACTATATTAATTACCTTTTTTGGTTGCCTTCATACTTGAGCTACATGTTTGTATTCACCCTATGTAAATTTGTCTAGCTTGTGTTGCATATTCAGGAGGTCATTTACCTGCATATCAAAAACACTGATTCCACTATATTGTGAAACAAAATATTTACAACTATCACTGGTACTGCGTTCGGGCTGAACGGGTGATGTGTTGTTGGATACACAGCGGAGGAGAGGTCTTTCCCTTCTCCGTTTAATTTCTTGAGCACAAGAAATAAAACGGAGGGAGAAAGACCTATGACTCGTCCGTGTGTCCGTCGGTGCGTTTTCCGTTTGGCCCCAACACGGTGCCAGTGACAGTATTATATATATTTTGTGTGAATAGACATTTCTTTGTTTTATTGATCTGACGATAGAAGACTGTACATAGGGTAAATAAAAACCTTCAGCTCAATAACGAGGGCTATTAAAAAGTTAATTAATAAGACTCATTTTAGTGAAACTTACAACACAGAACAATTTTATACTGACACATTCTATAAATTTATTCTATAAAACTGTTTTAAAAATGTAAAATGTTCACCATTTATTCATTTTTTGAACCTATGGTTTTATGAATTGTTGGTTTTTGATTATAGTCCCCTGTCAAATGTACATATACAGGCTCCCGTGTGCTCCTGAATGAGGCAGGTGTGGGAGTAGTCTTAATCTCTTCGGTTGACCTTGGAGAAATACAATTTCGATGGTGGCACTCTTGAAAATGGTGCGTTTGAACGCTGTGGGTAAAAAACAAAATGGCCGCCGTCGCAAACTTCTTTTCTTACTTATATCAGTAACCGTTAGAGTTATGAAAGAATTGTTGATACCAAAATGTAGCTATTTCAAATCTGCACAAAAAATATTGTTAAAGTTTTTATGTAGGATACACCATTCTTTCATAAAACATAATTTTATATTTTTCATAAATAAATTAATTAGGGTGGATGTAATGTCCCAGGACAGTTAAATATTTCAAAAAGTAATAAAGGGTGTTTCAGTAAAGCGTAACGGGCTATGCAGATTTAGATTCTATGTTCAAAAATAAGTCGAAAATGTTGTATAACATTTTTTCGATTTCGGCTTAGTTTAGCCGTAATCCACCATTTTGTATTTTTTGAAAATAGTTCATAACTCATAAGCTCTTGGAGATATTTTTATGAAACTTGGTATAAACTTTAAGTCTACAACTATAAACATTCTCCGAAAAAATCTTTGATCAGGCTCATCGAATTTCAAAATGGCGGCCATTAAAGTTTTTTAAAGTCAAATTTCATGAAAACCAGCAATTAAAACAAAACTTTGAAACGCAGTATGTAAAGTCCTTTTTATTACAAATCGAACGACACTTTATTTGCGAAAATCGGATAATAAATAAAAAAGTTATGTAACTTTTATTATGTTTTTGTCACTAGTTTCTATGGAATTTAAATTTGTGATTTCAAAATGACTGCCATTTTGATAATTACTATTAGTAATAAAAGTAACATAACTTTTTTATTTATTATCCGATTTTCGCAAATAAAGTGTCATTCTATTTGTAATAAAAAGGACTTATAATGTTTTGCAAAATTTTGTTTTAATAGCTGGTTTTCATGGAATTTGACTTTAAAAATATAATTGGCAGCCATTTTGTTTTTTACCCTCAGCGTTCAAACGCACCATTTTCAAGAGTGCCACCATTGAAATTGTATTTCTCCAAGGTCAAACAAAGAGATTAAGACTACTCCCACACCTGCCTCATCAAGGAGCACACGGGTGTACATTTGACAGTGGACTATTAATTAAGTACCCAGATGTAATTTTTTATCAATGTTATTTGTCATTGTTTTATTTTTCCGTTACTATTGAAGTAGGACATAAGTTACAGGCTGTAATAAATCCAACACATACCCTTTGATCTTGGGTGGATCGCTTTCTAACAAAAGACAAGATGGTGAGACCATTCTCTATGCGGCCAGTCTTGTTGTAGATATCCTGTGAAGTGTCAAGAAGAGGAGAAGTGTAGCCTCCGATCCAAGTGTCCATGAGGAAATGACGGCCAGACTTGTCCACCCAGCCTAGAACTGCATCTGTTTGCGACTACAATACAAACACAGGAGTTGTCAAACATTGAAATGAAATCATGCTGTAGCCCTTTAAGACCTCTAATCTAAGGGCATAAGTAGGCCAATGTAGAGTTTTTCAGTCACTAATGAGTAACAATAACATAACCCAACCTTCATCTATGCGAGCATGAATCAACAAAAACATGGGCTGCAATCTGGGAGCACAGAGAAGTAATATACAGAGGATGCAAGCTAATGGGACAACCGTGCACTTTTAGCTGTGGTATAGTGGGGCGGAAATGTACTGGTTCCGAGCAAGGAAGAGCCTGAATAGCGATGGCCACATAGTATATTTGTAAAGCAGTTGTAGCGCACAGGATCTTCCTACAGTGTGAGCGCTGTAGTATGAGAAAGCGAAGGGGGAATGGAGAGGGGAAGTACTGTATAGTATGAATAGAATTTGCTCTAGCAACTGGTACTAGACACCACTTAAGTTTACCATTGAATGTATCCTCTGTATCTTACTTCTCTGTGCTGGGAGTAAGACTGTTAGGTGAAAAACCAATGGGTGGGTGGTGGAATTGGTGCATCCCTTGCTAGGGGACAGAAATAAAGATTTAAGGTTTGAATCCTGCACCAGTCGGGATTGGGTGCAACTATTGACTATTGGATACTGAAGTAAACATTACATCTATTTAGAGCAGTTTTAGTAATTTTTTTTATTAAAAAGGAACATAGTTGAATGAGCCACTCATAGTACAGTCTAAAACTCTATTTATTCCTTTGTTCGTTGTTACGGTACTGAGATTGTATGTGTTTTTACAAAAATCAGTACACTTCAGCACTCTCAGTGAACTGGATTCAGCTGTGTGTCTCTTATAATTTCAAAAGTGGCTACAACATTGACATTGGAATAGAATATGATCTACTTCTTTTAACCCTTCCCAAGCTGGAGGGCAAAGCTCTACTCACTATGCGCGATCAATAATTTGGTTGAGGTTAAATAATCACTTTACAAATTTTGATGTTTTCCCACTTCTATCTGATGATTAAAGTTGATTAATAAAGTCACCATTTTATATAAATATTTTTTTATACAAGTTTTATGACAATAGTTGTTGCAATATATTCGTCCAATGCTTGCTAAGGAATGCATGGATCCGTATAGATACGTCTAACGCATGTAAATTTTGTTTAGGATAAAAATTTATTTTTAATAAACTGTTAAAAAGGTTAATAAAATTAAAAATATCATGATAAGAACAACTGACTACTTTATTATTATCGAAAGACAAAACAGACATAAGCCTGGCTGGGTCGAGTACGGCGGGGTGCAAGCAGCCACTCGCTCTCTAACTAGACATGCAGGCCAGTCAAGCAATGGGCGAGTCGGTAAAAAGAGGTCAGTTGAGAGCGAGTCGAGTGATTTAGTTGAGAATTGAGTTGCTTGGCCAAGTAACTACCCCCACCACCACGATTTGCCTGCGAAACATCTGTTTACTGCTGTCAAGTGAGTCCAGCGACCACAGAAACAAAATTTAATTGTTTTATTCTGTGGTCGCTGAGTGAGTCAGTATTGGGGTAAGTTCAGTGTAGGTAGGCCTACTCACTTGACTCGACTATTCGACACTCAATCACTCAATGCTTCAGTTGAACAGTTGGCCCTGTGTTGCATTTTCTTGCTGTAGCCTACGTAAATCATACTCTCTTATAAAATTCAGTTTTTAAATTTTTTTACCTAAAGATCAACAGTTCAATGGGAACGATTTTATTAACCATTTGGGTCATTAGAATTCATACTCCCTAAACTATAAACATGTTTTCTAGCAGAAATATATTGAAAGGTGTTTTCACATTTTTTATTTGGAGGCAACTCTTGGCTGCCTTTATTGAGTGTTTTCAAGAAATGCATTATACAGTAATTTTCCAGCAAATTTTATCCTCATGGAATATCATAAAGTTTTTTTTACAAAAGCTATAAAGCAATCTCTGAATTTAAGTGGTGATTCAGTTTAAGTTCTAATAATCTAATTCAGTTTTTAAGTTCTAAATTCAGCAATAAACTCTTGTCGTGCCATTTTAAACTCATACAACATTTAACACGAAAGCTACGGTATACGGAATAGGAAAATGAAATGAAATGAAAATGCTTCTTTATTGAGGCGAACTTAGGACCTCATGGTCCTTTCTTACAGTTAACCTCTAAAAACTAATAATAAAAAAAAAATACAATAAAGTTTGTAACAACTAGTAATAAAATAGCAACAATAGGAAAGGGATGCGTGTGGACAGTCTAGTCAAGTGCTGGGTGAGTTGAGCAAATCAACTACTGGGCCTAGTGGCCTACAAGTTACGAGATCCATATGATGCCAAACCACCAACCAGAAATTTTCCTCGAAAAATAAAAAGTTATCGTAACAATAATCTATATATTAATAGGCAAGCATGTTTCTTTAACACGTTCACTGCGCTACGAGATCCCGAGGTCTCGTATCATACCTAGCCCGTAGTGCGGGACCCATAATTTGGCTTCTTTCCAAAAATTAAGACATCGATATTTCGGCGTACAGGTATCGTAAAGAAATGAAACTTGTATATAATGCATTTTTCTTGGTGTATCAACTAGTAAATATGAAATGAACAAGATAAATAGATCTCGTAACACACTGAAGTAATAAACTTTTACTTTATTACGATACGAGACCCCTGGGTCTCGTAACAAAAATAGTTGTTCCAAGCACTACATGAGGCTATAATGGGGTGATTAGTAACCATGGTACCCTTTGTCGAATGCTTGGATGAAAGAAGAAAACCAAAAAAATAATTCAAGAACAAAGAGAAAGAATAATGGTGTTTTTATGCTGTTATTTTTAATGAGTTATCTAATGTTTTACAGGTTTACATATTTATCGTTTTCAACTACGGGAACATAAATCTTGTTTAACTATCAACGTGTTTCTCTTCTAAAACAGCACTAACGGATGCGTATTAAAGGTCACTGGTAAATGACCTAAAATATCACGATTGTGCAATGTTGTATTTTGATGTAAAAAAGCAAATCATTTACATTAACTTGAATATTTCTCCTGGTCCCTACTAAATCATACAAAAATTAATGCTAAATAATCGTCAAACCGGCCAAGCAATTTCCGATAAACAACTTTGTATCATTGGTTTTTGTTTTGCGATTGGGATCCCTTTCCCAGCCCTTTAGGGAAGTGGTGCAAGTCTAAATATAGCTTCGAGGTTGCACCCATGCCTTCCCCCCCGCCCCCTCGACTCACTGTTGGCACGCACTCATTTCGAGGTCATAGCCCAACCCCAAAATTATAACAAAATAAATACAGTAATTTGTAAACATATTTCATTTTTATTTTATTTAGCCTGAAATCAGCTGTAAGGAAACGCATTCATATAAAAAGTGATAAAAGAAAGATAAAATATAATTTTTATACCAGTTACGATTATGAGGAATTCGTAAATAAACAGATAACATATATTTTTCTTAATTTGTTATTGTAGGAAAAGAATAAATACAAATAAATAATCAACTATTACAGCTGTGCGGTACGAGATCTCGGGGTCTCGTACAATGACGTCATATTTACTTCCTGGGCTGGCTGAAGATTGTCAACATTGTACTGGTTCAGATAAACAAACACTCAGCGCTCTCTCGCCTTTCTTTACGAGGTTATGATGCGCAAAAGATTAGGTACTGCGCAACGTAATCTCGGGGTCTCGTATTGCACCTGGGTACCAATATACCAATATATTCTAACCAATATATTCTTATCCGCTATGATTATAGCGGACGAGACCTATAGATCTTGTAACGCACCATTGGAATAATCCTGGAAAATATACAAACCTTTTTTCTCAGCTCGTGTACATTGCAGGGAAAATCTACGTGTATACTGTTAGAAAGGTATTTTCCTGTAGATGTGCGGGATCCCTTTATAAATTAAAATAGTTTAAAAAATAAGCACAAAAAATGAATTTGAAATTTTAAAAAGAATTACCATGGGTTTTATGGGTTTATGCTGGTGACAAAATAACAACAAAAAATAAACAGAAAATCAAAACAAATGGAAGAAATTACAATCACATATTTTATTTACAGCTTGGGGTGAAAATAGGGAAGCCTGTGCATTACATATTTTTGGTTGAGTTTTCGACTACTAGTATTGATTAATGGCCTAAGGTAACTCTGTGACACTCACCATTTTCTGATCATCAGAGAAGCCGATGCCCGTCCAGTGGTTGGTGTTAGAGGTTGTGATGGTAAACTTAATCTCATCCTTACGAGGATAGAACTCCCACTGGGCATGATACTCACAGTTGCCCTTGGAAACATCACAACCTCTGGGAGACTCCCACTCGCCTTGGCATGGGGTGATCTTGGGCACTGGGGGCTCTGCGCCACTGGCCACCTCGTTACCAGCAGCTGCTGTCTCTGAGGTGGATTCTGTTAAGAATTTTGGCGTGTTTAGAGGTAGAGATATTTGTACAATGCCGACAAAGCGTGCATTTTTTAAGGCCTTTGCTTTTCATCTTTAAAAATGAGCAATGTTTGGATACAGCATTTTTACTGATCATCAGCTGAGTTTACGGCCACGATAATTTTATTCAAAGCGCAATGATTAAGTTCAGCTGGGTCCAGTGCCGTCTGGAATATAATGAAAAAGGTTTCAGAACTGGTACTATAATAAAAGTGTAAATTTGTAAGGTAAATAAGACCAACAGAAACTACAGGAAACTCAAAACTAGCTAGAGTTCCTCGATAACTGGTATCTCAAAACATGTTTCCACTGCTTTCCTCCTGAAATTGATCCTCAATGAAATGGATTACATTAAAATTCATGTAGTGTCATTTCCTGTCATTTGGCCTGTTATTCGCTTTGAAAAACTTTACCACAAACCCATTTCTTAGCAAGCACATAGGTCAAAAAAAGACGCCAAAACACATATATATATGATATATATTATACCTATATTACAGCATTATGTAGAGAGTCAAAGATGGATAAGGCTCATCAGCTCACACATTAGGCTGAAGCTGGCCAATCAACAAAAATAATGATGACACAGATTACATTGAGTAATTACCGTAGAAGTTAAGGCTGATTACTCCTCTCTGGTCGCCATGGCCATGGTATTTGAGCTCGTCTGGTTTGTAGAATTCCTTCACCTTTGCCATATCCTTCTCCAGGCCAGATTTGGGGAAGTGGTGGTACTTGCCTGGCTCTTGGCCCCGGGACCAGATCACATGCATCAAGTCCTCTTCTATAGAATGGTCTGTGGGCTCAGCGGCTAGAAGAAAGTACAAACCATAAGTACATAAATTAAATATCATTGATCATATACCACACTTTATGCTAGAAATTATGCATTATTCTATGAATAGTGTAAGCAGTTAACCAACTGATAAAGTATTATTGAGTATCAATCAACCAAAGCCGCCCCCTTGCATTCATGTTCTATACTGTTTTTTAGACAGTCTTTCTACGGAATCTCTTCTTGGGTACACCTAAAAAAGAACAGAGTTGAATCAAAAAGCCTCTCAGTTCTTGATTTTTAATATTACTTTGATTTTTAATTCCCCCAATTACTTTAATTTAATCTGCTTGCTCTATGTATTGTAAAATTCAGTAATACAATGTGATGCCATATAGCCTGATCAAATAAACCAAGCCAATTGGTTGTTCCATCACTCCACCTTCTGTTCTCACTGCTATCACAATCACCTGAAACACTCCGTACCTCCATTCATCAACCAACCTCACCAGCTCCTGCACACTAATGCGGTTATTCTAAAACATTACAAAGGTGTTTCATTAGAGTACTGGCTTCTTTGTTCCCATCTAGGTCCGGACAACAATGACGAAGAGGATGGGATTCGCCCCTTTTTTTGGATTTGCAGCCAATGAGGTTAGTTAGTTTGATAAAATAAAAGGATTACCTTATCCAACCACAGTTGCTGGCATAGTTTCGTTCATTAAACCTCCTCAGGTCATGCGCAACCACATCATCAATGTATTAATACATTATGGTATGTCCAAAGATTCTTTAAAATAATGTAAAAATCACAATAGTCAAAACTAGTCATGTTGATGGTTAAAATGGAATAAAAAGTGATAAAACTAGTAAAAACTGTAGAGGCTGGCAAGCACTGTCTTATCACTGCCTTTACAGTTTTAACCAGTTATTCCATTTTAATCATTTGATCAACTTGACTATTGTGATTTTGGTATTTTAAAGAATCTTTTGACATACCATAATGTATTAATACATTGATGATGTGGTTGCGCAGACAATGACATGACGAAGTTCTAATGAACGAAACTATACCAACAACTATGCTTGGATAAGGCAATCCTTTTATTTGATCAATAATATATTCTAACCAATGGTCACAATGAATAACATTAGTTAGTTAATTCAATCAGACTATATGGGGTATACTGATTCTTGTATTGTTTGTTTTAAAAAAAATCCAGCAAATTTAGTTATAGTATGTAAGAAGCAAAATTGATTTATTTTAATTGTTTGTAGTGGTAACATTGTTTCTTTTTTCATTTCCCTCACAAAGTTTGATTTCATTCATAATTCTGTATCTCATGGCAGGCAAATCTCGTAGACATTGTAAGTACAAAATATTATTATCCATTATAATCTAGGAAAGTTAAATCTGAAATTAAAATTTGTATTATAAATACTATTGAACATGGATAGGGGAAAATAATATTCACTGTTGGTTAACCTCAAATTCTAGAATATGTTAAATTAGGTTATAAGTATGTTAACTTGCAAAAAGCACATTGTACGAAAGAAAATGGTAATTGAAATTTATATTTAGAATAGTTATATTAGTAATATTTATGCATTTGTATATTTTTTTTTACAGACGAGTTCCTGTATTAAAATAGAGCTCTACGGAAGGTCATCATAAAGTAAGACTGTTTTAGTTAAATAATTATTTAGGACTGAGATACAGAGGTATAATTTAACTAAATGGAAAGTATATATTTGTTATGATTTCATTTATTTTATTAATAAAATGTCAGTGGTGTACACGGAAATGAAATGGCTTCTTTTTAACTTAGGCTAAATCCTATTGAAGTTATATAGTTCTGTAGTACAAATTATTACATTTATACTTGTTTATTGGACCTTACGAGTACAAATATATGTGCGACTCTGCTAAAGGACATTGAAGGAAAGCCTTATTCAAGTCGATTACTGTAAAGTAACTAGCCCCTTGTAGATGATGATACATATTTTGGAGGTCACCAATTGGATAGTTCATTTTCACTAATTTCTTATTCAACTCAGAATAGTTGACTACCAATCTATCTTTTGCTGTTAAAAATGCTGGGCTGCTATATTCGCTAGTGCAGAGGTGCCCATCCCCCCTAAACCCAGAGGCGCAATCCCCCCCCCCCCCAAGCCAAAGGAGTAGTCCCCCAATTTATGTTGTCGTCTATTTAAACCTACCCTCCCCCCACCAATTCATCTGACAATTTTCCCTTTACCTCATAAAACGAGTATTTAAAGTATTTAGTAAACTTGAGGTACAAAAAACAAACTTGCTGATTCAGAATCAAAATTAAATGTTTAATAGGAAACGTCATTTAACAATACATATCTAACTAATGGTTGAATTAGAAGTTTTTCAATTTACAAAATTCCGAATTTGTATTGTCAGCCAACATGTGCTCAGTATTGCAATAGACAAAGTCTTCAACACGTTCAACAATATACTCGGTGAATTAATCTACTCCAACACAGTACTGTAACTGTACAATATATTAGGTGGCATTAATGTTTAGAGGGCTTAAGAATTCAAACAGCTTTAAGTGTATTAATAATACTGGCAAAAAGTATCTTAATTGTTTCAAAATTATAGGCAGAGTCACGAAATAAGTCAGACTATTGTTGCTCGCCACTGCAGGCTGCCTTCTACAAAAATCGCCGGGCAAAATACCATGCCTTTAGAACAAAAGGTTTTTGTGACGAAGTAATCTTATAATTCATTTTTATAGCCCCAGGATTGCCTTTTATGACTAAAATGGTAGGAACGCATCTTGTCAGACAATCCGTTTGTACACAAAACACGAAACGATAACAGATAGGCCTATCAATTCTCGCGTGTATATTGCCGCGGGCAGGACTGGAAGTAAACTGAATCAGATTATGACGGAAAGACGTGGTCTCTGGATTGTCGTCTAAGTTATCAAAAGCTGATATTGGGCTAATTGTAGTGACGGAGGAAAGTATGTTGAAAATATAATGGGATTCATAATTGAGTTTTCCATTCAAAACTATTGACAATAATAACCAATTTATATGCTGGATATAAATGATGGTCTCGAAATTCTACAGTACTGCACGAAAGGAAATTTATTAAATACTTTGAGGAGTTTGAAATATATGAATACATAAAATTGGGACAGCACAAAATTTGTATATCCCATTATATTTTCAATACCCTTCTCAGTCACTACAATAGTCCAATATCAGCTGTTGACAACGCAGACGACAATCCAGAGACCACGTCGGTCCGTCATAACCTGAACCCGATTCAGTTTACTTCCAGTCTTGCCGACGGCAATGTACACGCGTAATAGGCCTATCTGTAATCGTTTCGTGTTTTGTGTTAAATGTTTGTAACGTATTCTGACGACACCTCCAGAAGGGGATCTTTTGTAAATCCTGACTATAGTGGAGTTAAAGAACCAACAAAACATATGTAGCATGTAAAATTCGACACTGGCATGTTAAGGATTGTCTGACAAGGTGCTTTACCATTCTTAGAAGCAATCTTAATTACGAACGGCAAAATGTTGTTGTTGTTGATAGTGAGCTACTTTTAGTGAGAAACACTTTTTCGGACTGCTTGTACAAAATTATACAGCCATCATGACAGCTAGCAAAAATTACATATCCCCCCCCCCAAAATCCCTTAAAAAAAGTCCCCCCCCAAAATTCCTGTGGCGCAAACGCGCCACGGTACCCCCCCTCTGGGCACCCCTGCGCTAGTGGATGGTTCTATTATACCTTGGGCTAACCAATCGTCTACTATGGCTTTCATTTTGTTCAAAGTGGGCGAACTTAGAAAATAAGGGCGAATACATATAGGTTTATCATCAGTAAGCTTTAGTTCTACTTATAGGTCAAGTGCCTCACCAATCTTATCAGTAAATACATTGGGATAAGATTTTACTAGTTCTTCTATTTCTGTGGTCATCTCTGGAGTTCCGATATGAATATTATTTATTGCTAATTTCTGCCAATTTTCATCTCCACACAACTTTATTTTGTCTGAAGGTGCGAATTTAAAATAACAGCTGTTGTCATTTAAATCGATAATTAGGCCTTTGTTACGAATGAATGGAGCTCCCACTATCATATCATAATAGTTTTGTTTTATCACCAAAAATTTTTCATACCAGGAATACTTGCTTATCTTGATTTTTATCTTACATTCATTTATGATGTCCAATGGTTCTTCATTTGCAGCTAACATTATATCAGTCCATTTCTTAGTTCCTCTAATTTTATTTACTGCGTTTAGTTTGTCATAAAGCTCTTTACTTATAAAGTTTCTACTGGCTCCAGTATCGAGTAGAGATTTTACATGTATTTTCCCAGTTAATTTTATTTGCATGCATGGTAAAGAATGTATTGTTTTACCTTTGGTTTTTGTTATGCTAGGTTTCTTTAACTTGTTGTGCCCTTTAACTAGTTGTCTTAATTCATTTTTGAATGCGAAACTATGGTTTGTATTATCAATAACATTTTGTTTTCTGGGAGGATAAGATACGTGAAGTTCGGTTCTTACACCTCCCAAGTTTATGAGTTTTTTGGTTTTCTGAAGCACTGTCTTGCTGTATGACCTGGTCTAGCACAGTTATAACAAACCCTGTCTCGTGGATATGAGGTCCCACTTGACGTTTGTCCATACCCATGATTTCCCTGATTTTCAACTGATCTATTATGCATATGTCCTGATGATGTATTTGACGTAGTAGGAAACATATTGTGTCTGACATAGTCATTAAAATTAACGTTGTTTAGGTTTATGCACAGTTGGTCTAGGTCTCTGAAGGTTATCGGATTTTTTTCAAACACTAATTTATTTCTGATTTCCGGGTGGATGCCATTTTTGATGAAACAAACCAATTCTTCTTCAGTGAGATTTCCCTTCAATACTTGATGATTTGTCTTGACCTCATTTATGTAGATTGACAACGGTTCGTTTGTTTTTTGCGGTCTAAAGATGAGTTCTTGTTTCAGTTTCTCCTTCAGTGTTATTGGTATGAAGGTATTTATGATATCTGTGTGTAGTTGGTCTATTGATTGATTTGTGTTCTTGTGTTCTAATATTTTATTCGTGAGTGGTTGAGAAGTATATGTAGGCAAGATTTCAAACAGTTGGTGTGAAGTAAGATTGGTCTCGGTGGTGATGGTTATTAGGTTTCTTAAAAAGTCCAGCAGAGGATAGATTTCTAGTCCATTACAGATCCTGAATTTTTGGAGATATTTTTCTAACGGATTCTTAATTTTTCCGAATACATTTACATTTTCAATCTCTTGAGTGGGGCCTGCTCGTGGTTGTATTTGTGGACCAAGGCGATTGTCTAATGGAATTTCTATAGGCTTGAAATCTTGAATGACTTCCAGTGTCTCTGTGTTATGTTGGGTAGGGGTAGAAGATGTTTGTCTACCGTGAACAACATGCTTATTTATCTCTGAGTCAATTTCCTCTTCGTCCAAAATAGAGGTGTTTGTTTAACCTTTCTTCAAACTCCGCCAACTCCTCCTGAGGGATGTCAGTTAGGATAGCTTCAAATTGCGACGTGGATTTTTGCAATTTATCCACATATTCAGTAAGTCTATTCGTAAAGGATTCTTCTAATTTACACAGTTTCATATGTGAAATTCTTAAGGCTAAATGGGCTAGCTTAGCCTTGATTTTGGCTACTAATAAGTTGCTATTAGCTTCCTTGCACTGACCTATTAGTTCCTCTACACTATATAATTTGTTTTCTATCGTGTCAAATTCATCTTTAAGTATAATTTTCCCTTTCAAATTAATGACATTTGTTGGAACGTCTTGACATGACCTTAATTGCCTCCTTAAACTCTGAACATCATTGTTAATAATATCTTGTCCTCTTGATAAGAGCTCATATGTTAGCTCTTCTTTGATAAGGTAATTCAAGTTAAATTTAGACATATTTATGAAATTATCTTGCTATAGATTCATGCTCATTTAGTAATTAGGCTGTAATGTAATATTTCACTCTAGGCTAGTAAAAATTAGGCTTGGATAAAAATTTAAAAGTAGGCTATAGTGATTTCCAGATTTTTTTTTATATTTTGTTGTTCTGTAGAGCAGAGTTGCGCATATATTTGTACTCGTAAGGTCCAATAAACAAGTATAAATGTAATAATTTGTACTACAATAGGTTATCTGAACTAACCGGATATTGTATTGAGTCGAGCTATTCTATTTAATTGTTGTGTTTTATTTCATAGTATTTAATTTTGCAAATATTGTTGTTGTTTGTTATTAAGGGAAAAAAAATTGAACTAAATTTACTTTGATTTTTTTTATTTTGAAGTGGCAGAAAATTTATACTGATTCTTGTATTGTTTGTTTAAAAAAAATCCAGCAAATTTAGTTATAGTATGTAAGAAGCAAAATTGATTTATTTTAATTGTTTGTTGTGGTAACATTGTTTCTTTTTTCATTTCCCTCACAAAGTTTGATTTCATTCATAATTCTGTATCTCATGGCAGGCAAATCTCGTAGACATTGTAAGTACAAAATATTATTATCCATTATAATCTAGGAAAGTTAAATCTGAAATTAAAATTTGTATTATAAATACTATTGAACATGGATAGGGGAAAATAATATTCACTGTTGGTTAACCTCAAATTCTAGAATATGTTAAATTAGGTTATAAGTATGTTAACTTGCAAAAAGCACATTGTACGAAAGAAAATGGTAATTGAAATTTATATTTAGAATAGTTATATTAGTAATATTTATGCATTTGTATATTTTTTTTTACAGACGAGTTCCTGTATTAAAATAGAGCTCTACGGAAGGTCATCATAAAGTAAGACTGTTTTAGTTAAATAATTATTTAGGACTGAGATACAGAGGTATAATTTAACTAAATGGAAAGTATATATTTGTTATGATTTCATTTATTTTATTAATAAAATGTCAGTGGTGTACACGGAAATGAAATGGCTTCTTTTTAACTTAGGCTAAATCCTATTGAAGTTATATAGTTCTGTAGTACAAATTATTACATTTATACTTGTTTATTGGACCTTACGAGTACAAATATATTTTAATACAGGAACTCGTAATGTCTACGAGTTCCTGTATTAAAATCAAAAAGACACTTTTGTCTATCATTTTTTTTTTTTTTTATTTATGATACAGTATATGTTTACCCTGAAAGTCTGATCTCCCTTGAACAATTTGTTGCAAAGGCCATTTTGGAGTAAAAATTATTATTAAACTTAAAAATATCTAATAAGCTTCAGCTTTCCCAATTTCAATTTTTAAATTATTTGATTCATAAGATTTAAACTTTTAGTATACAACAATTAAAAACCTTAAGGTAACAACAAATCATAATGAAAGACAATCAAAATGTAGTTAAAAACACAATTAAATATTCATAGCACATTACAGACGAAAAGGAAATGTTATTGTAAAACTAAAATTAATTTTCTTTGGTTTAATTATTAATTATACTTTTGTTTGTAAAAGTGACATTAATTCATAGGTGACATTAATTAAATAGCATTGACAATTGGATAGTCAAAGTTAGTTACCTTTGAGTTTTTTCCTGAACAAAATTGTTGTGACGCCATCCTTCTCAAATCCCATGGCTGCTGTCAAATCATTCTTGCCGCCCCAGAACATATCCAAACGAGGTGTGGATCTGTAAAATTTTTTTTTTGTGCAGTTAAATTATTGTAAACTAGCAGGGTACCCGTCCTTCGTACGGGGTTGGCATATAAGTATAAAATACGTATTGCAGTTATACTCAAGCTTTGCGTTTGCAATGGGGGAGGACAAAATAACAGTTTGATAAAATTTGCTTCTTTAAATTTACGGTACTGTATACTTAAGTGTTCTACCATAGCCATAACGTTCTACCAATTCACCTAAACAATAAAGAAAAATAAATGATAAAAACTCGCAAAATATCACAAATTATTCATGAAATTAAAAACATAAATATAACTGTAAGAAATCCGACTTTGACAGTTCTCATATTGCGTATCACAGTTTTGTGTTGCTGCTTGGTTCAAATTTGCCGTTTTCAAAAATGCAAAAAAGTAGACTAATAGTGCTGCACCCTGTCGGTAAATCTTATTACTTTTTTATGCTTTTGCATATCATAGAACCAACTTTTTTAGTTGAAACATCTAACTAAATTCTTTAATTCCATTTAAATATGAATACTCATAAGGTTAACAATAACATGGGGAACTACAGAGCCACTGGGGCGGAGCCCGAAAGGATTTTTGAGATAAGAATATGCCTATATGTTAATTGGGAATGTGAGCTATCATCATGCCAAATTTCAGCCCAATCCGTCCAGTGCGTGATTGAACTTCAAACAAACAAACAAAAAACAAACAAATAAACAAACACACAAACTTTCACATTTATAATATTAGTAAGATTTTTTGTGTTAGGGGTATTGTGCAGCACTATGTGGTGCAGTAATCTTTCATAATGTATCAAAGATACTTTAAAAACTAAACTTTCCTCGCTACTATTGTTTTAGTCAAAAATACTACTGCAAATATACTTGTTATATACATTTTTCAATATAAACAAAAAACATACCACCCAAAAAACATATTAGTGAGTAATATGACTATGTGCAGTGCTATGTTTTTGTATATGGAACGATCCAGCTCATTCTACCGCGTCACTGGAAGGGTCTCGAAACAAAAAGATCGCGTCGCGTCGCAAGAAGGGGGGAAGAAGAGTCGGAACGCACATCAAGATATCCGTTCGATTCCCACCTTTGCGATTGATGTTTCCTAAGCGATTGTGTTTGATGTTTGCGTATCTCCTTAAGTTGTTTTTTTTTTTTTTATTGTCAACCGGTGGTAGGTTGACGTTTTAACCAGGGGGGTGTACGAAAGGGGATTAACCCCGTAACCACGGTGATCATCTATGCACTCTGTTCACATTACATTTAGTCGACCAGTTGGTGTGAACAGAGTTTAACAGTAGCATGAGCATTGATTTACAAATTCCTTTCCCAGCTGACGTGAGCTAGGCGATGACCGGTAGGGCTGACTTCCAAGAAACATCGTTAACCTATAAGCCACACACCCTATCGGTAATCAGCCAATGAGAAGGGCTAATGTTTGTCGGCCTTAGTCACTAACAAGACTACAAGATCGCGCCACTCATCCTACGCACTCATCTCCAATAAAAAATCTTGGCTTAAAAATATCTACCTTTGTATGGTCGCCATTTCAAAGAAAAAGTATTGTTCTTCATTATGTAAACTACTAACGATAAAAAATTCTCAATGAAACATTATCTCTATTCCTTCTACTTGGTGGAGTTCTATGGCTCTTCTATGTTTCCATAATTTGCAAATTGGTTCTTTCAATGATTGCTCAAGAAATACAGTAGGCCTTCTGCGTCATTTCATTTTTCTTATTTGGTGAAATATATCAAATTGCCTAGGCTTTCTTGGCTTTTTCTATTATAATACGAACGCAAACCCACATTCAAGTAAGTAAATATTTAATGTCAACTAAGGCTACGCACGGCCGCCTTTAACTCCAGGCCGTGGCCTTTGAAGTGGCAAAGTCGCAAGTAGGGTTGTAACAGCTGTTTTGTTTGGAAGCAGCTAATTTACGAAAGCTTGGTTACTGGACTATGAAAATATTGACTCCGCTTTAAATGTACAGATATAGATTTTCAATTCATATTGTTTTGGTTTTCAATTCTGTATGTTTATTTATGTTTATAAATTTAAATTAAATCAATAAAGTGCAAATTAATGAGCTGTCACCTGTCTGCCATGTTATCTTATGACACGTCTGACACTAAACAACCCTACTTGCGACGTTGCCAACTTAATACCAGGCGCGGCCTGTAGTTAATGGTGGCCATGGCCTAAGTCAGGAAATGTGTGTACACAGGCGCGTTTCCTAGAATATTGTAATATTTACAGCAAATAAATTATCCAGCTGATCATAATGTAAGCAAATAATGATAACATGGAAACTTTAAGAGCCACTGGGGCAGAACCCAGGGGACTTTTTCATGTAAGACCTTTATGACATGTAATGAATGGGATCTTTCCAATGAGCCATAAACTAACAAAATCGGATGAGAAACCATGTAGGAGTTCTGCCGACAAAAATCGTGCTTGCCTATTTAGCCCCGGCAAATTAGACATATGCTCCCCGAAAAATCGTCTAAAGCTGGAAAGTGTTTTAATACCTTTAGGGGGTCGCAAATAAGACTCCTTTGAGTTTGCGACGGATTCTGACGTCTGCTTAAGTTTTGAGAGTCGAAAAACTATGAAAATTTTGCACTTTTTTATGTTTTTCGCTTATAACTCCTAAATAAAAAATCCTAAGGAAAATGTTGTTCAAAAGTGTCTTTTAGTGCATTAAATTCCGCTTCGATTGATGTTAAATACGTCAAAATCGGCCAAGCCGTTTAGCCGCTGTAGCTTTTCCAAGTTAGGATATTTTCATCAACATGGCCGAAAGGTTGATTATTTGACCAGTTTTCGGCTTACAACTCCTAAACGACGCTTGCTATACAAAAATGCACCTGTAGTTAGTTTGGAAAACACAATATTCGGCGTAGAATTATGATTATGAATTACTAGATAGTGGTTTATTCCATGGTTATCATCCAGAGGTTTATCCAAGAATGTGTGAAGGGAAGGGTAGCAAGACCCCCTATGTAATTTTAAATCTAATATTGTTATCTGGGGTTAAAAAAATTCTAGGATTCTTCCTAAGCTCCCATTTATACGATCCCATCTCTGGACACTCCAAAATGGTGTTAAGCAATTCTAATATATAATAAGATATTACAACAAAAAAGATTTTTATTAAATATAGCAAAAATGTTATTTTTTAGCTTAATAAACGAAAGATGATAATGGGGCGGATGTACATAGTTTTACTATGTATTTAGCCTTTTGAAAAAAAAAGATTGGGAGTTTTTGTAGATTTTACCATATAACTTTTCTACTTAATTCTCATCATTGGAATCTTAAGAATAAGGATTCATTCTTTGCTCTTATTGGTCTTGCCACAAATGGTGACATTCGGTACCATCTTTTTCGTCATATAGAATTGAGATAATCGTGCCCCTTGCAAGTCTTTCAGACAGTAGTGCATTCCCTGCATTTCAAAAGGAGCAAGATAATGTAAACCTTTTTAACATGTACACGATAGTCGAGATAGGTAGACGGAGTTGAGAAGTTCTTGTCGAACCGGTGGATTTTGACCGTAATGATGGGAGTTAACCCATTGGCGTTAATTTTCCATACCTATCTCTTTGAATTAAGTACACTTTTAAATGAGCTCTAAAGGATTGGTGGATGAGCAGCCCCTTTTGTTAGAATCAAAGTAAAGTCAAAATTAGTTGAAAGTGTCTTCTAGAAGAGACCAACCCTCACTTGATTTGGATATTTTCTGCTCCCAACCATGTATAGGGCCAACCTGCTTCTGCAACTTGGCCAAGCGTTGTAACCCAGAACACAGTGAGATCTACGTTGATTGGAGTAAACAGCATGAGTAGTTTTAGGCTACATGTATAGTTAGATTTTCGACTCTTCTACATCACGCTTTCTTCATCAAACTGCGCTAGTGGGTACGGACCTATTTTTAATCCAAAGTATGATTCAAATTGAGGCTTGGGTTTGATGTGGAATATCACGTGCTAACTGAGGGGGGCAGATTCTTCTTTAATCTTTGCTGTTGCCATCACAGCTCGCAATTTAGGTCATCACTTCCTTTTATTCTGCAAAGTTTATGGTCATTATAGGCTTGCCTATTTACGATTTTCTTGCAAGCTGTGCCTTTTCATTATGCTTTATACATATCTCGCGTTGATGCTATCATATGGGATAACTGCTGAGCTGATTGACATGAGCGAACTATTTTCAGTAAATGGGTCGTGACACTGGAACCATTTGATGCATTTCTTTTTGAGCCAACCGTATCCGTGGAGTTTATATTATCAACTTGCTGATATTATGTTCAAGAGGTGATCCCACAATATCCCTTAATTTGATGGGTAGCATTCACTGCGATGGGCCTGCCAGCGAACCATCGGGCTAGATCCCCATCATTGATTCCCCAATCTCGGAAAAGCTCTCCAAAGTAAGATGTTGCTCTCATGAGCACTTACTTGTTCATAGGCCATGCTGCAGGATCCATGACGTCACACTAGTGGATAGATTCACTGCCATATCCCCTGTTTTTGGTAATTAGGCTGGTTGTTTGCCAGATTTCAATAGTATGATTTTAAACTTCGGAAACTTGACAAGCATCTGATCTAGTGTTAACAATCAATAGCGGTTAAATGGTGAAGCCGATCTTAATGAATTGGAAAACATTCTACGCAGACGTTTATGCTCTTCAAACTAACTACAGGAACATTTTTTCATAGCATGCGTTAGAAGATGTAAGCCAAAAACTGAAAGATGAATACAGGGATAGATCGTATATAATGGGTGGTTGGGATGAATCCTAGAATTAACACACGTAAATTAAATACCACGGAATTAACACGTTTAATTAAATACCAACCTGTCTCTAGTGTAGTAATCCCATATTCTACTTGCAGTTCCTCTCGCCATTCCAATGACAATGTCAGTACAGTCCATGGCGTTGAAGTCGTGCCGAGGTGTGTACGGTCTAAGAACTGCCCCTAATCATTTTCATGTTGTTAATTTAAACTAGCATTCTAAAAATGTAATCACATGCTTAATGTTTACTAAAGTAAATTGTCTATTTCTGATAACATTAAGTTTGAAACCGTGTATTTAATGTTTTGTATCTTTTTTATAGTGGAGATAGTGTTCTGTTATTGCGTCTAAGCAAGGTCCTTTGCCGACTTTGAGGAAATATTAAGTTCTAATACAGGTGCATTTATTTTAGTCTTTGAATGTAAATACTTAAATACTAAACTATAATGTTAATGAGAATTCATAATTATGTTTTTACATCTAAGCCTACATATATATATACATTAGTAGTTGATGCAGTTTGTTAAATCACAATTTCTTGTATTTTTTCATAGCTACCAAATATTCTTCCCAGTTACACGAATGGGAATGGTACCAGTTACACGATGGTTGATAGTAAAATAGTATTCAGGCATTATTAATACATGGAAATATAAGTTATACGTCTGTAGACAGTATAATTGCTATAGGTGCAATTCATAATAGGAGTAAACTATTGACTGATAAAATAAAAATTCAGTATCTTTTGAAAAAGAATTAAGAATTACAAGGATACATCTTCTAACAATTACTGGATAAATATTAGTAATATTTAGTACTGCTATCTATCACATGAAATGTTTTTTCCCAAATAAAACTTAACAGAAATATTGTAATCAAAATTAGTATACAACTTTGACAATTAGAAACTAGAAGGTTGTAAAATATAGAAAAGAGGCCCCTGACATTATATTATTGATAAAAAATATATATTCTGTTGTCTGAAGAGTAAGTACCGTACCTAAGACAGTTTTGTAATCTGTTCTCCATATTACATAATTTCAGTAACAATTATAATTAAAGTATGCAACAGACATGCTGAATATTATATGGATAACATTGTACTGTACAGCGCAAATATTTTACATCGTTTATTTGATATTTACAGTAGTCTAAGAGTAGGGTAACTATACCTTTTCCAACTTTAGCATGCTCTTTGGTTGATGTAACCTGTTGTTTTCCTTTAGGTTCAGGCTCAGATTTAGGTTCAGGTTCGGATTTGGGTTCGGGTCCAGACTTAGGTTCTGGTTCTGATTTGGGCTCTGGTTCAGACTTAGGTTCTGGTTCGGATTTTGGTTCTGGTTCAGACTTAGGTTCTGGTTCTGATTTGGGCTCTGATTCAGACTTAGGTTCTGGTTCGGATTTGGGTTCGGGTTCAGACTTAGGTTCTGGTTCTGATTTGGGCTCTGGTTCAGACTTAGGTTCTGGTTCAGATTTAGGTTCTGGTTCAGACTTAGGTTCTGGTTCAGATTTAGGTTCAGGTTCAGGTTCAGATTTTGGTTCAGGTTCAGATTTTGGTTCAGGTTCAGATTTTGGTTCTGGTTCTGATGATGGCTCTGGCGCAGACTCAGTATCTCCTAGAAAATAAAGTCTTGCCAGGAAAGAAAGAACCAACACCATCTACTGTGGTTTTTCAAAGAAATGTTTCATATTTTAAATCTACTTCGGTGCTTAGAGTAATATGTAAGTTGACTAATCTAACAAAGAAATATATACAAAGTGCAGTTCTATGACTACTTGTGGTTTCAAGAATTCAAACCAACAAACCCTTTTTGTTTGGTGGTTATTATAAAGATGAAAACAGTTCATAGAAATCTACAAGAGGCTAGGATCATTCAATATAATGGTTTGAATACTCACCACCTTGTCTGTACATGGACCTATCCTAATGAATAATAAATCCTCTTTGAAATATTGTCACTTATAAAATTACCATCAAGCAAATAGGTACGGTATATAATTCAATTTTATTGAGATATTTAAAAACATGTTGAGATTGTTGTTAAGGGTTCTTAAGGGTTAAGGGTTGACTTGGGAGTTTATTTGATTAGAAACTAAAATATTGGTCTTATGTGCTACTCACTGCGTGAAGTTTCGTCTTCCATAGCTGCACGCTTCCCCCGATTACCTTAAAAAATATTCAATTATATACTATTAAAACTACATTTTTTTCATTAAGTAATATCAACATATTACTTGTTATAATATTGTACCTATTTGTTTTAATAATATCTAATTTTTAGATTATTGGTTCTTTGGGGAAAATGACTACCTAATAAACAATGCTGATGTAGGAATATTGTATATGAGCTTGATTAAAAATACTCCACCTGCAGCGATCCTGTCGACTAAGGGAATTTCCATTGTCTAAATAGGTTTTGAATCAAATCTATTTAAATAGCATTAGGTTTAACAAGTACCTAGGTTTGCTGCTACAATTGAACTAATGAAGTGTACGTGTTTTTAGTAAAATATTAATAGCTTTGAATAAAATAAATAAATTTGTCAAGTTTGATCAAAAAATATATCCATAAACAAGCAAACTACAACATTTTACAATATTCTTCATAAGAATAACATGGGATTTTTAAATTTACAATTTTTTTTTATTTTCTCCGTTACCAATAACGGTTAAAAAACACTTTGATATACTAAATTATTTGTTTTTTAAGCTCAGAGAAATTGGGAAATTTTGTGTTTTGAGGGTCAAAAAAAGAAAAACTATTTTTTACCCCATAAACCCCCTTGTAAAATCCCGTTCCCCTGGTCCGATCATGCTGGTTCGCGAACTCATTCAAGTTTATCCCACCTTACACATTTAAACCTAATTTCATCTAAAGTGGACAAAAATGACTCAGGTTATCGTGTTCACGGACGTATATATCTATATATATAAAAGGCAAAGCCCTCACTGACTGACTGACTGACTCACTCACTCACTCATTACTAATTCTCCCACTCCCCACTTACCTAAGAGGCTGAAATTTGGTACACTGATTCTTTAGGCATTAAATAGGAAAACTAAGTGGTTTTTATTCTGATCGGACTCTCGGGCTCCGCCCCAGTGGCTCTGGAGTTTCCCATGTTAACCTAATGAGTACTCATATTTAAATGGAATTAATGAATCATAACAGCTGTTTCAATTAAACAAGTTGGTTCTGTCCTATGATGTTCAATAGCATTAAAGTTACAAGGATTACCAACAGAGTGCAGCACTATTATTTTTTTTTAATTTATGACAATAGCTAATTTGCAATCAAAAAGTGAGTGAGCGTAGCGAACGAACTTCATCCTGGAGGCGAGTTAGCGTAGCGAACGAGCTAACATGAAGGCAAGTGAGCGCAGCGAACGAGCTCCAACCTAAAGGTGAGTGAGCGTAGCGAACGAACTTCAACCAGGACGTGATTGAGCCATGCGAACAAGCTCACTTATGAAGTTAAACGGGGCGAAGCCCGCGGGTACAGCTAGTATGACTGTAAAGTCATATGGTTCTTAATTAATATTATGTTGTTTTTTGTAAACAATGTTTTAGTAAACAAACTTACTTGTCGCTCATTAAATGGAATTCTTCATCTAAAGATTTAGTTTTATTTTAAAACAAGAAACATGGTGCCGAAACGAAGAACCAGAAATAAGAATAAAGAAAGACAATGTTCTCCATTCAGAGAGGTTAATACAGACAACATTGATTATGATAATGATGAGATGAATAATCAAGACTTACCAATGAACATAAAACCACCAAAGCCACTGTTAGTTACCAGTGGTAGTGAAATGACAAAGAAGTGGAATTTATGGCGGAAACAATTTCAGTGGTATACTACTGCTGTCAATTTAAAGAAGAGGACAGTAGAGAAACAGATAGCTACTTTTATGACAATACTTGGAGAAGATGGAATTGAACTTTTTGAGTCTTTTGATATTGATGAAAAATCTACTAGCTTGGATGATATAATTGCAAAATTTGATTCGTATTTTGAAAAGAAATCAAATGTCATATATGAACGGTTTGTCTTCAACAATCTAAATCAGGGTAAAGGAGAAACTTTTAATGATTTTTTAACTAAAGCATCTAACCAAGCAAATAAATGCTTGTACGGAACAATGAAGGATAGCTTATTACGAGACAGGCTGGTTTGCGGAATTAATCATGACAACACTCGCCAAAAACTATTTCATGAAGAAAATTTGACACTTGAAAAGACAATAAACATCTGTAAGACTTCTGAAGAAGTAGAATTTCAGCTATCTACAATGTCTGAAAAGAAATGCTGCAATGTTTATGCTGTTAAAGGAAAAGAAACTTTAAGCAAAAAACAAGAGGATAACACCTTCACTTGCAGTCGCTGCGGATATCGCCATGGCCCTCGAGCTTGTCCTGCTTACCAAAAGAAGTGCTCTAACTGTGGTATCCTTGGCCACTTCTCTAAGGTATGCCGCTCAAAAACAAATAATCGAGTGAAATCATTAAAAACTGAGACATTATGAACATGGTGAAGTATATTCGATTCAACACTCAGACCAGGTAACATTAATTAGTTCCTTATCTAAGGAAAGAAAACAAATAGAAGGAGAAAAAGTACTGTATAGGAAAGAACACAGGGACTGGCAGCCAGCTACATTCGTAAGAAAAGGTCCGGAGCCAAGATCATACCTTATAGAAACTCCAGATGGGAATGTTTATTGAAGGAACTCTTGGTTTTTGAAGAAACGATTTTATGACGTTGAAAAACCGGCAGGAGCAAGTACAGTTATCGGAAATAAAGCTGGAAATGGAGTTAAAGACGTAGATAGTAGAAAGTCATCGCGAAGAATAAATCCTCCCAAAAGACTTGACTTATAAGTGAAGAAGGGAGATGACATAATATGACTATAAAGTAATATGGTTCTTAATTATTATTATGTTGTTTTTTGTAAACAATGTTTTAGTAAACAAACTTACTTGTCGCTCATTAAATGGAATTCTTCATCTAAAGATTTTGTTTCATTTTAAAACAAGAAACACCTACAAAGTTTAAAAATGTAAACAAGCAGAACGAGAGCGGCCCACACACTAGCGCACATGTGCCTTGCGTGGCTCGTGATGAGGTGACTGCGAGCGGCTCTAGGCACATGTGCGATTCAAATGGTAACCACACACTAGAGACACATGCGCGCGCACCACCGTCTTTGACGATGCAAATAGTGGGCTATAACAGCAAATTTAACAGTTATATTGAAATCATTCTAATAAACTCCTTTGTATTGTCACCACGTTAATTTTTACTATTTGTTTTTTTATTTTCATTTTTTTTAACAAGGACATTTTTTAGAGTTGCAAGCAAAGTCACTAAAGAATAAAATTTGACTAAAAACAATTAAAAAAAGTGTTTTGGGTTTGTGGGAAATATGAGGGTTCTATTATTTAATATAAGGGTATAAGGGTCGTATTTAGAGTATAAGGGTTATAGACTTAGATTTAATTAGTTTAATTAGTTCTAATTAATTGGTTCACATCGATATGAAGGTCTCAAAGAGTTAATTTCAGTCTCCACAAACTTATCGTCACTGTCAGGAAACACCCCCTTGCATTTTGTTATTAATAGCTCCTTAATTTCTTTTCTAATTTATTTGTTTGAAAAGTTTACACTTTTCACGTCCCATAAACACGTTTGTGGCCTATAAAGCTCTATAAACTCAGACCAAAACTTTCTTATGTCATTGCAGGACATCTTAACCAAACAACAAAGAAGTCCATAACCTAAAAACAAGGACAAATAAAATATAACACGTGGGGCAGTTAATGTTACACTGTGCCATGCAGGCGCAGACCTTGTATTTTCCGATTTACAGTATATGCAGCTATGGTTAGTACTGCTAGCTTGCGAACATGTGCCTCGGTTTCCCACAGACTGGCGCGCATCATAACAAGCTCGCACACTTGTGACGATGCTCGAAGGTCCGGCGGCAGGCACCAGGCACCTCGCATGCGCGTCGCAAGCATGGGCACATTTATCCACACATTGAGGCGCATGTGCGTAGAGCTGTTCGCGCGTCACATGTGCGCGCACAAGCGCCCCAGTGTGTGGGCCGCTTAACTGTCAAATGAATTTTGATTTCACAATTCCACACAGCTGGTTCAATCATTTATTTAAATACTGCACAAATTTTAGAACAGAGAGGGTAAAGATCATATTTAAAATAATTATGTCACCAGCCTGAATGTAAACATGATTTAACATTACTTAAATGGAGCTGTCAATGTTAATGTCATTTCATTATAATAGGATTCTTTCACATCATTTGTTTATGTTTATAATCTATTATACTGAGTCTGTTCTATTTGTGATATGCTGTAATAATATTTTACTGTGAATATTTCATTGTAAAAAGAAATTATTCATGGATATAGGAAATAATAAAGATTCTACAATCATTGCCCTATCAACCCATGGTGGAAGGAAAATATGGATATAGGAAATAATTAAGATTCTACAATCATTGCCCTATCAACCCATGGTGGAAGGAAAATGTATTTTCCTTCCACCATGGTATCAACCTAGGCCCTTATCCTGAGTTGTATGAGAATTATGTTTTAGATTTATTTTTGTGTAAACAATATAATATCCCTGCTGCAGCAAACCTATGGACTAGCAAATTTCCATTTCCCTAATTGTCATTTCCCTAAAATAAGTTAGAAAACTACACTATTGACAGGTTTGGAACTATTGTGATAGCTTTTCGTTTAGAGTCCAAAAAGGTTCTTTTATTATACCTTAAAATATAAATATATTATTGGTTTTGTATCCTAGGTAGCCTAAATAAGTATTCACAGTATGAGTTTACTAAAAAGTACTAGACCTATATTACTATTATCAAGTTAAGTAGGCTAAAAAAGTTCCAATTTCGTTTCCAAAATAAATGGTAGGGAGTGAAACCATTTGACATTTTCTAAGAACCAGCATGAACACTTTTGCATACTGACCCCGTTGCAAGGCACAGGTATAGCTGATAGCAAATACGAATAGTAGTGCTGGTTGCAGTAGCGCCAGTCAAATTTTTAAGCGACCGACACTACTAATTGGGGCTGACGGGATTGATTTTTTTAGTATCTTATATAACTTAGAGTTAATCATGTACCACCACAAGTCTTCTTTCTACATCAATTACAATTCCATAATCCCCCCCCCCCGCAGCACACCTGCAGTCTATTTTCAATTAAATCTAATTCAATAACATTAGGTTTAACGAGTATCTAGGTTATGCTGCTACAGGGAGGGTTACAAAGTGTGATTTTAGGAAAATACTATTAGCTTAGTATAAAATAAATAAATTTGCCAAGTTTCATAGAAATTATATCCCAAAGGAATTAAAGAATTTTGTCAGCTGTTTCAACTGCACAAGTTAGTTCTATGATATTAAATAGCATTAACAGGTTTTAAGGTTTATCTACAGGGTGCAGCACTATTATTTTTTGCATTTAATGCCAACAGCTAATTTGAACCAACTAGCAACAAAAAGCTGTGGTACACAATGAGACCTTTACTTTTTTCTATGGTTCAGGGGCAGTGGTTGAACAAACGAACCAAACTTTCTTAAACCATGTCCTCACCCATAACTGCAATAATCATTTTATACTTATATGCCAACCCCGTACAAAGGACGGGTACTCTACTAGTACATTATAAAAAATTAAATCAACTTACCATGCGACTTTGTATTTTTAACACCAATTTCTGAACAAACAATGTGATCTCATATCAAAATAAATTTCTAAAAACGTTATTCATTCAAACCTAAATAAAAACTAAGAAACTTCACAAACTTACTTGAAGAACTGACTCGGTAGGAGACACTATGGGCCACTGACACTTCCGGATGATCATTAGTGTCTGGAATCTGTTGATTTGTTGTGTCTCGGGATGACACAATCCGTTTGGGATTCCTTTGTCCAGTTCTTAGCGAAGACTTTGGTTCAGGTTCACTCTTAGGTTCTGGTTCACTTGTGGGTTCGGGTTCGCTAGTAGGTTCAGGTTCACTTTTTGGGTCCGGTTCACTTTTTGGTTCCGGTTTACTTTTTGGTTCTGGTTCACTTTTTGGTTCTGGTTCGCTTTTTGGTTCTGGTTCACTTTTTGGCTCTGGTTCGCTTTTTGGCTCTGGTTCACTTTTTGGCTCAGGTTCGCTTTTCGGTTCGGGTTCGCTTTTTGGCTCTGGTTCACTTGTCGGTTCCGGTTCTCCTTTAGGTTCTGGTTCGCTGGTTGGAGAGTGGCTAGGGTCTGATGTGACTGCACCGGGAAGATCGTCGATTGTTGGAAAGTTCTTGCATTCAGGAGTCATTCCTCTAGGTCTCCAACCCAGACCTAAGTAGCTGGTGCCGTTAGCCTGAAGTACGACCTCCACTTCCTGATCATCCCTCAGGATTCGCCAGTAGAGCTGGAAACCGGGAGCTAATTCACGATGGTTGTGTCCGCTCAAGTCAACATCAGTGGACTTTACTGGGGATCCTGGAAACACAAAAGGTTCAATGTTTAATAGACACTTCAGTCAATAATTGGCATTATGACTGTCAACCTTACATCATTGTTTATTGAACCAAACTAAATTTAGTATTCTTTTCTTAAAATCATAAATACAGGTGTGTGTTACTGTACAAATGTTTATAAATGACAAATTAAAAACAAATATTCTGTATGAGTTTTTTTAGGCACTGATTCTCACTTCTTATATTGCAAAATAAAAATAAATTATTGAACTTTATATTGATGCAAGGGTGCAACAAATTCATATATAAAGTACACCCCAGTACACCTAGAGTGTATATTAGATGAAAGAAGACAAATGAATTCTTTAATTGTTATAACTTTTGAAAAGGCCAAAATTATTAAGGACTATAGGTAATTCCCACATGCAAACTTTCAATAAGTGCTTAAGAAACTTTCTCAGGAGTTAGGTTTGCCAGGATTACTCACTAACCACATTGGTCGACCTGATCACCTAGCAGCTCAAGCAATCTAAATATATGAGTTCACGTTAAATGTAAAATGAGAATACTGTCTCAGAGTAAATACTTTATTACTATGAGGTACTGTGATCAAATGCAGTAGCGGCAACCTAGGAGAACCCGGAGGCCTTCCGCAAGTTTTTTCACCACCTCCCCCCTCTCCCAATATTATTAAAAACATTGTCCCAGGTATTTCCGATTTCCATTCCACCTATAAGCTTACCCTTGGGCTTGGCACGGCATCTCCGAGGCAGCCAGGCAACATTGTCATCTTCTTCCATGATTGCAGCATAATTCGGATATCTTCCTTAGGCCACGGAAACATTATCATTGTCTACCTTGATTGCATTCAAACCCGGCCAAGACATCTCCTGCGGTCATGTAGACAACATCATTGTCTCCCACGATTGCGGCCAAATCCCTAATATCTCCAGCGGTGACGGAAACATAATCTTTTTCCGCAATCGCAAAAGATCCTTAATATCTACCCCGGAGAAAGAAACGTCTTCTGTGATAGCGTGGAAATCTTGAGAGGTTTGGTAAGGAAATTTTCTTTTGTAAGAATTTGTGATTCTTTGTACAAAATTCCACTGACGTAGCTGAACAAAAGCTAACATGCCTTCTGAATTTTACGACTTACGTTTGGTGCAGCCGGGCCCGAACCAGCCGAGTTCGCAGTAGCAGTGTTTGCGCGGCGCTGTGGTCGCCTGCACATCTACACAGCGTCCTCTGTCTCCACAATCGCTGTTGTCTATACACTCGTCTCTGTATTGACAGCGACTGCCAAAGTAAAGTCTGTCACAGCGACACTTGGACAACAAGTAACGTCCATGGCCACTGCAGTCCTCCTTGTATGACTTTCCTGGGAAGAAAATAGTTATTAGAATGTGTTTTGTGACTTTATAATAATGTAAAACACGTTGTAATTGTAGATCAACCACTGTATGATGATGAATATGAATTTTTGATACAGAAACAAACACTTGGCTCCTAGGGTTCATATTACTTCTATAAGATCAAGTTAGATTATGGTTAATTTATCTAAATTTCAATAATAAGGTTATTTATGAGGACCAGGCAAGAATTGAGGAACGCACCCGGACCTTCCAGCTGTGGCAGGAGAGCTGGGAACAGGAGAGAAGGGGGCTCTGGCAGGAGAGCTGGGAACAGGAGACAAGGGGGCTCTGGACCAGGCGACTGATACAACAGGTCCAACCTTGGGTTAATGGTGAACTTCTACCTCACCCAATTTCTGACCGGTCACGGCTTTTTCCGGTCGTACTTGTTCAGGATGGGCAAAGCCGTGTCACCCGATTGCATATACTGCCCAGGCATTCCCGATGACGTGGAACACACTTTTTTCCACTGCCAGCATTGGGAAAGGCCCCGCCTAGAGGCTCGACAGTTCGTAGGACTGCTGTCGGTGGACACGGTCATACCGATGATGATGGAGACTGAGGACAATTGGACCTGTGTGTCACTTTACATCCAGGGTGTTCTCCGCGCCAAGAAGCTTGACCTCGACCGGGATGCGATGTAGGTCAAAAAAATAAATAATGCCAGAAACGGTGCGAGCCCTCTGTGGGCTTAGGTCACATGTTGGCCTGACTTGAAGTAATGTGACAAACAATTCCAGGTCTGTGTCCAACAGAGTAGAGGGGGTTTTTTAGTGAGTAGTCTGTGATAAACTCAAGAGTCTCACACTACAGACTACCTGTGTGCGTAAAAGCATTTTCCCTCCTCACCCTAAAAAAAAAAAATAAATAAATAACATTTGTTTTGTGCTGATTTAATTAACATCTGTTATATTCATTGTTTCTTCAAAAATATACACAATTTTACAGACCACATAGCTCTTTAGTATTTTTTTATTATAAGTTTATTTCAACCTTTATTTCAACGCAACGCAGATACCCAACACTGTGTGACACAGTATTCATCTCCTCAAATTCCATTTAATTGAATTAAGTTAATACATAAAATACAGTTTGTATTATAATATTAGTTTCACATATGTCCATGTTAATAAAATAAAATAAAAAATAATGTATCAAATCATGGTGGAAGGAAAAAACATAGGTGTGCTATTCCCACATATTCTGACGTCACTCGGATTGCAAACAAAAATATCACCTGATTGTAACTGTCAAATTTGTATGTATTTGTTTTGATTTGATTGTTATTGTTTTTATAATAATAAAAACAATAACAACCAAATCAAAACAAATACATATACTAATTTGACAGTTACAATCAGGTGATCTTTTGTTTGCAATCCGTGTGACGTCAGAATATGTGGGAATAGCACACACCTATGTTTTTTTCCTTCCACCATGGTATCAAATGTTAGTTGGAGGTAAACAAGACGAGCCATGTTTATGATTTAGTCTTGAGTTGAATTGTAAATAAACATCTGAACGTTAAATAGTAAAGCTACTAATTGTATTTATATTTTCTAACTAAAACACAGTTAATACTGCATAGTCAGTGCATCGTTGATTTATGTATGGGTCCTTACTTCAAAAATAGATGTGGGTTTAAATTTTTGATACCTAACTTAATCAAATTTTTCAAAACATAATGTTAAGTTATTTACATTTTTAAACGTTTAAAGATCCTCTTTAGACACTATGTTTAGTCATGTTATGTTCAAATACAATTTTTGTGTTGATAGCTTTTACAATACATGTTTTCACTTTTTTTTTTTTTTTTTTTGTGGGGGCTGGGGTAATGGCATACCCCTAGCTACTTCGGCCTGGAGACCTTTTGTAGCACCCTTTAATTCATTCTGACAGCCCTAGGCTCCTCAAGTAGCCCAGGAGCTAAAAGACACCCAGCTTCCTTATCTCTGTTGGTTCCAGGAATAACCTCCCCAGAGATATAAGCCTTCTATGGGCCAACGCTGGACAGTCCAGCCATAAGTGTTCTGAGGTTTCTACCTCGTTCTCACAGAACCTGCAGAGGTCTGTTTGTGACCTCCCTATGGTCCTGAGATGTTTCCTGATAGGACCGTGCCCTGTTAACACTCCTACTAGCAGACTAATGTCCCCTTTCTTAAGGCTCAGCAAGTCTTTCCAGCCTTTATCAGTGGGGTCGATTAGTAATTTGGACGTCCTCATACCTGGGTGGTTCGTCCAGGCCAGAGCCTTTTGAACCTTGACCCAGTCTTGGACTTTGGCTACTCCTGAGCTTATGGGGGTACCACAGTAGGGTTCTGGTCCTGACAGTTGGTCTTCCGCACCCTTCCTGGCCAAAATGCATCGGCTTTTTCGTTCCCCTCATGCCCCGAATGTCCAGGAACCCAAGACAATTTGACTTGGTTTCGCTCTGCTAACTTTTTGAGGGTGTTTTTACACCCTTTTACTGTTCGTGACTGTGTCACACATGACCCCAGCGCCTTCAATGCTGCCTGGCTGTCAGAGAGAATAAGGATTTTACCCTTTCTTAGATTCTTGCTAATAATATTAATAGCACAGCACTCAATCGCCAGGACCTCTGATTGAAAAACTGTTGTTGTTCTGCCCAAGGCCAGCGATATTTTGGTTTTGTTACCATACACTCCCAGCCCTGATCTCTCATCCTTCCGACTTCCATCGGTGTAATAGACCAAGCATGCTCTGTCATTGCTGAAGTTGCACTGTTGCCAGTTGTCTCTTCCCCCGCCTATTGCAACTTGGTAAGGAATCTCGAAGTCGTATTCCTTTGTCATGAGGTCTGGTGTGCCTAGTTCCATGTCCATGCTTGGGAATCCCCTCAGGATGGACAGGTGGCCAGACTGCCTCTGTAGATTCAGCTCACCTCTGCTGCCCATTTTTAGTGCAGATATGGCTGCGCATTTCTTAACTTCCAGCCCTAGTGGGAGCATGTCGAGTATTGCCTCCATTGCAGCTGTGGGACAGGATTTCATGGTCCCACAGATCCCCGAGCACGCTAGCCTTTGCAGCTGCTGCAGTTTCCTGCCAACTGCTGTCTGCTCTGCCTTAGGCCACCATACTAAGGCTGCATATGTAACCATTGGTTTGACTATGGCTTCATAGGTCCAATGTGTGAGTTTGGGACTGAGTCCCCATTTCTTACCAAAGGTTCTTCTGCAAGCACCAAAAGCACCTGTACCTTTTGCGAGTACATAGTCAAAGTGCCTGCTCCAGGTCAGTTTCTGGTCGAGGTAAACTCCAAGGTATTTTGTTTCCTTCACAAGTTTTACACTTTTCCCCTGAATTTTTGGGGCTGTTAGGTTAGTTCTCCTTCTCGTAAAGGAGATTAGCTCTGTTTTGTCAGGGTTAATTGTGAGCCCCTCTTTGGAGCACCACCCCTCAATGAAGCTAACGGCTGTCTGGGTAAGGTTGTTCACTGTGGCTGCGTGTTTGCCTCTAACAGTCAGCACTAGGTCGTCTGCAAAGGCTTGGAGGTCTATGTCTCTCCTGTCAGCCTCTCTCAGTAGATCATCCACCACAAGAGCCCACAGCAGGGGTGAGATAACCCCTCCTTGAGGGCAACCCTGTCGAGCAATGATAGCTGTCGAGTAGCCTCCCAATTCTGCCGTCACCACCCTGCTCTTGAGCAGGGCATTTATCCAAGCTGCTACGTCGGGGGAGATGCCCCTGCTTCTGACTGCAGCCTCTATAGATTTGTAACTTACGTTGTCAAAGGCACCCTGTATGTCCATGAAGACCCCTGCCATAATTTCCTGGTGTTCTAGGGTTTCCTCGATCTTTGCCACTAGGGTACTTAGGGCCGTCTTTGTAGATTTGCCCTTCATGAACGCATGTTGGCTCGCACTTAGGGGGTTGATAACTAAATATGCATCCCTAATGTGGCGGTTTATCACTTTTTCCATAGTCTTTAGCATGAAAGACGACAGGCAAATTGGCCTGTAGGATTTAGGCTGGGCCTGGTCTCTACCTTTTTTCAGCAGAAACGCCACCCTTGATTTCCTCCAACAAATTGGGATGTAACCTAGGGCAAAGCTGCCCCTGAACAAAGCTATCATATGATTTAAAAGGACCTCTAGTCCTTCTTGGATGAGAGCTGGGAATATTCCGTCCCCGCCTGGAGACTTGAAAGGGCTGAATGAATCGACAGCCACTTCACGACCTCCGGCTTGAACAGCTTACTCGAAAATCTTCTAGCCAAAGCAATGTCTCTAGGTGATTTCCTATTCCAGGGTATCAAGTGTTGTCCTGTTGAGTTGCCTAGTGGGGTGTTCCCTGGGAAGTGGGTGTTCATAAGGACTTCAAGAGTCTCCTCCATTCCTATTGTGTGACTCCCATCCTCCCGTTTTAATGTACCGAGCGGGTTAGGCACATCTCTCTGAAGGGCTTTTTGCATGTTTTCACTTAAAAAGCACACACTTGACAACACCACAAACAACTGAATGTGTGAAAAAACGGGGTCTGGCACGTACATTTCTTCTTTCGTTAGTGTCTCTTCATGTGCCTTTTTAGTCATGGCAAAGGTAGCTTTAACGGGAAATTCCTTCTTATTTTGAAAAGATATCTTTTTGTCCTAGGATGCTAGGCACGACGCCGGGATTTTTTTCAAATTACTTCAGACTAGACCTATGGGGAGTAGAGCATTATAACTTAGATCAAATCCAATGGTGATTTGGCAAAATTATAACAGCAATGGGGAATTACGTACCAGTAGCAAAGAGCATCTGATATCCAAAATTTAAACCTAAACCTCCAAAACTGACAACTGTAGTGTAATCCCCATCTTATTTATTTATTTATTTATTTATTTATTTGACGGTAACAACCATTTACAATAATATGCTGATATGCTAAAAATTCTAACCAAACAATACATATGAAAAATTTGATGGCTAACACATATTTTTACAATAGATAATAGTATGTATGTTATAGTACATGCTTAACTACACAAAAGATATAATTTGCTTAATGGCTACAATTAGAAAATTTAACAAAGTGATGATTGCAAAATACATATAACAAGACAGACAAAATAATCGAGAATTGACAACAATGACAACAATGAGTTCTTCATGAGATCAACTGGGCCTATGCAAAAACCAGATTGCATACCTGTATTGGCCTTTGTTCAAAATTTTTTGTTTAACTTTAAAATATCGAACAACAATAAATTATGTCCCAGAACAAAGCCAGATTAGGTAGGTACTCACTGTTCTTGATGTCCACATCAGCGCAGGACCAGAATCTGTAAGCATTGCCCCACTCTAAAGCCTCTCGTTGTAATCTGATTGTACAATCATTGCATTCGAAGTCCGATGGTAGTCTTACAGTGAATGCCTGGGCACTGCAAAATAAATTTTGGTAAAAAACTGTATGAATTTCAAATTATGAAGATTTGCAATTTGTATGAAAAAAGATATTCAACTTGTTAAAATCTTTTGTCTTTTTTGACCTCAGCTTTGACTTTCGATAATGTAAGTAGACTTTTCATCCTATATTGACATATTTGAAGTCAGTTTTGAAATATTTCACGTTTGAATGTGTCAATATTTGAAAAAAATGTTTTCATTGTGAATTTTTTGGAGTGAAATTTTAGAGTGCGCATTTGATCTTTGATTTTTATAAATGGGGGATATGCAAAAGTTCATTAACAGATTATTATATTTTGTAAAAATGGTTTTACAATCAGTTAAGTTACAGAAAATGAATTTAACACACCAACCTAGAAATATCAAAACAAGACCTTCTCGATGCAAACATCTCTCAAGTTTTAGCTGGATGCATTAGAATATCAATTCTATACAAACATCTAATGAAGGCTTGTGTTTAATCTTTGCTGTTTGTAAGGGGTGCAAGTTAATGGCGTTTCTTCTCATGAAGCAACTTGTATTACCAAGTAGTCAAGTAATGTAAATAAACACCATGAGGTCTTGGTAAATTGTGTTCAAGCTGAGACTGTAGAATTTAACACAGTGTATTTATCAAATCTAATTATTTTAAACAAAATAAATAAGCAAAATTAATAAGAAAGTGCAATTATTAATATTATGGTTGATTTGTCATTGAAAAGTACAATTAATTGAATACATGATACTATAACTTAATTTAAATAACTAATCAGCATAATAATGGGTGTTATTAATGTTACTGAGAGTAAGGAGAGTAACAATCCTACGTCTATTAACACTTGAAACATATTTAATGTATATTTATTTACTCTCCGTGGTACTTTATTATTTCATGAGTTATTCTTAATCATTTTTACACAAGCACAAGGCTAAGGCGTAAATGTAAAAAATATTATTTTGGAGAGACAATTATTTTTTTTAATACTCACGTAGCATCTACTCTGACGAATTCAGAATCTTTGGTGACTGGAGTGAGGTCTACAACTGGCCTCAATAAGTTGTCCAGGACCTGAAGTTTGAAACCTCCCTAGAAAGAAACAACCAACTGTGTGATTATAGGCCTATCTAGAAAAATGTACACAAAATGACTAACTACTATACTACTGCTGTACTGTAACTAATGTACTGTATGAAATTCAATTTAACATTTGACAAACTTTAAGATTGAAAGGTGGTTAGGTGGTTAGAAGGTTCTAACACTATACTGTGGTCCTTTAGTGTAAGGCATTGTTTGTGTTCTAAAAGTATTTGACAAGAACAAAGAATAAATTGTTGTTACAAACAAAGAATACATGATGGTTAAATATAAGTGTGATTGTTAATGTATGAAACAGTTAAATGTGTTATGTATGAAACAGCTGATTGGTGGCTTCATTTTACAAACATTTGATTGATATTTCAATGTTGCCAGCTCAAAGATCAGCTGGAGTCAAGCCTTGAAGAGTGAGAGCTGGCAAGGAATGTGATATGAGAAAGTTGTTGAACAGTACGAGTACATGGCGACCAACGCAGTGCTCAACCACAATTTTCTTACAAACAGACATATCTACGAATACCCCCGTTGCAGCAAACCTGAATGTCAAAAGTGAATTTATAGCTGCTTTCTTTATTTTCAACCACAAGAGTTCCTAAAAATATATATTTATGGTACCTCTTAGATCCATGTCCTCTACAATCTCTAACTTGTACCTATTATAATGAGTAGGCCTACTTAGTTTCGTTGCTACAAAGGAATATGGATGATTCATTAAACTTACTTATAGTTACTGGCGTGGTCCTGGAGTTTATTTTAGATTTTTGACTCTATAAATAGTAAACTAAAAAGCACATGGTTTAGGATAAGAAGAATAATGATAGGACATCCTCCTTTTTTGACAAAGATCAGATGGCTCTTTAACCAGGTGTTCAGTAAACTTTAACCATTCATATAATTTAACACTCTATGTTTTATTTAATGTACATCTCTTTTCCTTGCAACATGTGTTCTTAATCAAATTAAATTATTCTCTATTGCTAAGATATGTTGTGTATCAAAAAGTAAATAAAACAGACTTCTTGTTCAAAGATCAGAACAACAGAATTCAGAATCAGAACAGTGAGATTACTTTTGTAATCTCAAAAGTGTGTTCATTTTTTCTCCCTCTCATAATCTCAATTTAATATTTCCATTTCTCTACATTTTACACTCTGGTCCTTCGAAATCTAATTCTCATTACTCTTTCTCATTTCTATTCCCCTTTCTCAATCATTCCCTATAATTTTAATATCATTCTCTACAATCATTCATTGGTCCTTCGAGCCGGATATTGAATATCAGTCCTTGGATTCCACTCTCACATGCCTTATTTCCCATTTGCTCTCTATTTAATTATTTTTCTCTTTCACCCTTTCAAAGCTATCGAATTTCCTTGCCAATTGATTTCCTATTGTTTCTGCCCACTCTCACATCAGTTAACCAAATTCCTTTTCCTAATATAATCTCTCACCCTCTCTTTTGTCCTAAATGGCTACCAGATCAATTTCACTCTCAAACTTTAACAAATCAACCCTTCTCATCCAAAATTTTTTTGAAAAGATTCTCAAATCTGTCCAAGAGCTTGAAACACTTTCCCCCTCCATTTTGTCTGTGATACAAATCAGAACTTTAAACAACTTCTCGAACCAGTTAGATAAGAAACATGAAGCCTATGAAAATTACCTGGAAAGAGCCTTGGAACATATATCAGAAGAATTAGATTTGGATGCAGTAAGTGACACTGAAGACAAACTACGACTGCTGTTCGTCGAGGCCAAATCTAATATTGAAGCCCTTCTTCAACAGCAGCCACAAGATGTTCCAGAAGAAAATAAAGATTCAACACAAATTAGTGACATCTCAATTTCATCCTCTGCCCACGTAAGACTCCCAAAATTAGACCTCATCATAATTGATGGTTCTCCTCTACAGTGGGTAAGTTTCATCAACTTTTTTTACACAAGCATCCATCTGAATTAAAGCATTTCAAACGTTACTAAATTTCAATATCTTCTCAGCGTGCTCAAAAATTAACCACTAAATCTCGTAAAAGCTTTCAATATCAATTCAGCCAATTACTTAATTGCCTATCAGCTCCTCAGAGACAGATATCACAACACACGAAGGCTAACAGCACTTCATCTAAACAAACTGATCGATCTGCAAAGCATTTCCTCTACCTCAAACAAATGTCTCAGAACCTTTCCTCAATCTGTTCTATGAACATACTGAAGCACTTAAAGCTCTTAACTGTGACATTACTTCTAACTCTAATCCTCTCTTGTCCACCATACTCTTACGAAAATTAGATAATGACCTTCTCAAACAACTAGAGGCTTTTAGAAACAATCTAAAGTGTGAAACACATTCTCTACCAGAAGTAGTTGAAATAATCAAGTTCATAAATCAAGAATGTAACCAAATTGAAGATGCTCAGTTACATACTAGGCCTGCTCCAATTGATGACAACCATACATCAGAATTTGAACAGAAACCTATCGCTTATACTCCCACTTCATTTCACGAACAGCAAGTTTCAATGACCTCTACCTCAACTCTTTCACGTCAACACAACTCAATAAATGTGTTATCATTCCCCTGCTTTGCTTGCTCATGCACAAGCCATAAGGTTTATGTCTGTCCTATCTTCCTCTCTCTTTCTCCAAAAGAACGTTTTACAACTGCAAAAGAAAACAACAGATGCGTCTCGTGTCTCGGAAAACATAGCTTTAAAGCATGTAAGTCTAAAGCTTCTTGCTTCAAATGTCACAAACGTCATCATACTCTGCTTCACTTTGAACAAGTCAAGACGCTTTAAGATTCTACATTGCCTACACCTTCATCCACTCATTTCATGTGATGTGCAAGTTATGTTAAGTTAATCTAACACATGTTAAGGAGTTAGAATTTATTTAAAGTAGCCTTCAAATTCATAAAAACATCTATACATTGTAATTTTCATACTGTTTCCATCAAATCACATTAATAACATTATTTTCATAACTTAGACGCTTAAAAAAAATCCAAAGCTGAGCCGGAGTTGATACAGCAACGGTTATAGAATCTTTTTTTATATAATCATTGACATAATTTTAGAATAAATAATCCATGATAAAAGGTTAGATTAAAATAAACCTACCTCATAGTTATGGAAAATATTATATTTAATTTCTTTGTATCAGCTGTCTGAAATTGTGAAATATGCAGTTTAGCAGTTCTTCTTGTTTACATTTAAAAGACAAAGCAAATGTAAACAAACATTGTTAAGTGTTCTCATTGCAGCCATGGAGACCAATCAATATTTACTTTTAAAATCTTCACCTCACAACTTTTAAAGCCAAATGAGCAAAGCCTACGGCCAGTATCGAAATATGAATAGTCCTATAATGGTCCTCGGTATGGCAACTATATTTTTGTAAAATTTTAGTCCAGTTTGTACAGTAGCTTTTGCACCTATTAGTAATACACATACAGACAGACACCATTAGATTTTTATATAATAGTACAGATATAGATAACTTTTGTAATACTACAAACGCTAGCCAATCATATAAAAAAGCCTCATGCTGTCGAGTTTATTGCGGAACGAGTGAGAATAACAGTGATTAATTGCACTGCGGTATATACTAATTAAGATATAGTACATGTTACTAATTAACCTTAAGTCCTATGGTCCTAGTCTGGTTCGTTTCGTTTGTCAGCACGAGCACAGCGATTTGTGTGAGAGAGAAGCTCTAGCTAGTTCTCCCACGCCCGACCGCGTCCGTGTCGTTTCCAAGACCAGCAATTAAAGTAACCCAGTTCTTCCAACACACGCGAACGCGATGTGCGTTTAACTACTACTGTTTAATTGTATTCAGAATTGTGTTTTGGTTTGAAGTTACAGAGTGTTTCCTTCTCTTTGTTGATAAAATCCCATAACCGCAAATTAATTTGTTCCGAATACTTTATTGCTGAAAAATATAACTCTAAAGTGATCAGAACTTCTATTCAAATATCCCATGATTCCAGGCTGTTATAATTTCAAGCTAACGAAAAAATATGGATTCCAAGATTTCAGTTCCATAGCCAAACCATTAATAAACCATCTGCCGAGGTATATAGGGTAAACATGATTTTTGGGAGATGTATAAACAATGGCTAAATCTTGCCAAGTTTTCACGTTACTGGGCAGGTACAGTATGCACCACAAGTAAGGAACACACTTATACAGTATATTAGTCAGTCTGCAATCAGCTTATGGTAAACGTGATTCATTAGGCCGTGAAATGTCAAGGAAGAAGAAGTCCTGCAACCTCGGAAGGATCCGGAAGTACTTTTGAAACAATAGTACAGCATCACAAATTACGCACTATTGTATTTTAAACCTACGCCTAGGCCTACACAACTTACATAATACCATAAATATTTCAATTTAGCCCAGAATTTACTGTTCCAGCTGCTAATTTGTGGTAGGAAGATGAAGAAAGATCCGAAGCGAGAGTGATTGGTATATATTTAGGTTAGTTCAGGGTTTAGGCATTAATTTATATAGGTATATATGTTTTTGCCGAAGCATTATTTCACAGAGCTAAGTAAATTAACATTGAACCCATCTTTGTACGAACTACATCTATAGCAATTGATGCCACAGAAACCATGACGATCCGATATACCCCCACCGCAGCAGACCTGCGAAGCGAATTTCAATTTTCTGTACAGTATCAAAAGATAAATAATGTTTAGAATCACATTATATCTTTTGTCAATGTGTGACAAATGTTTACGTAGATAATGTTTCCAACCAACACCAGGCTTCTACTTCACAACGTCAACAGGATTATTGAAGTTTCAAGTGACAAACTTTATCATCAGGGTTGATTCAAGAAATTAGTTTCCTTGTCCACATTAATTAATTATATCAATATCAATCATTTAAGATGGGGATGCCACTACATATGTGCGTAATTTAACCCAAATATGAGTTAAGGATGAGTGGCGCGATCTTGTAGTCTTGCTAGTGACTAAGGCCG